AGTGTGAGAAACTTGATAATCCTCCGCCCGCGCAATTTTCGTAAAAAAGTTTTTGTTTCACGTATTAATATATAGATGTAAAATAACAAGAATAAAGTTGCTAATGATTTTAATTGTACATTATCTATTTCTCTTCAAGATTACCTTATCTTCTTATCTCGTAATTAGCACAGGTCATTCAAGTAGGTTATAGCGATATCATTCCTCAAACGAAAGTATTATTATGTAATGTATGTATTTATATATGCAACTGTGATTTATGACGCCACTTGGCAATTAAAAATTACTTGGCGACTACTGAATCCTGGCAACTTTTCGTCATGACCCTTCTTCCTTCTCGATAATCCTCTGACGTTTCCTCTCAGGGTCGTGGCTTCTGCGAATGACTCACTCGTGGAATGTTTTGCCCAACTCAGTCCATTCTCGGCTGCGTGGACAATCGTGTTGAGGGTAGATATTATCTGGTCCGACCAGGTCGTTGAACTTCTGCCTCTTAGACTTCTTCTTCTTCTTATTAAGTAAATTCAGAAATACAGTCATTTCTAGAAAAGACTCGCATACTTTATTGTACTGTGCCGGATACCAGATCCTTCTCTAAATTGTTGACAATAACTCTACAAAATCAACTCAATACTGATAAAAGTCAAAGTCAAAGTAGAGTGAGACAGATACACGCCTCAAGCTGCTATGAATTATAAGCTATCGCTTCCCCGAATCCTGATCATGCAGGAACCAGTCACCGTCGACGCCCTAGACACGTCCTTACGGATCCATCAGATCCAATAACCTTTGCATTAGATGCCTTCAGCTCTAATACTAGGGGCAGGCTTAGGGACCCCGGTAACCGTGCTCGTCGAACTCGACAAGGAGGTCGACGTGCAGCCTAACCCATGCATCAGCCCGCTGAGTTTCTCGCCGGATCTTCTCAGCGGGTCGCGATTCCGATCCGGTAGTAGATTCATTCGCGAAACAATTGCTCTTGAGTTGTTAGGTCTCCTTCGGAGGCGCTCGGGCAGTTGTTAGCAAATCCCACCCCTCTTGGCTGAGCCTTTGCTCGCCCACCTGTCCTGGTGAAACTGGAAAGGCCTTCGGGCCACCAGTAAACTTTCAATCATAAAAAAAGCTATCGCTATTATGGCATTTATGATTTTAATATTTTCAAAGCTAAAATCCAAAAATAGCGCTTGGCATTCTATTATAATAAATTGTGACCTGGCCAGGACAACCTATTAATTTGTTATAGGCGAAAAACAGGTCAAAAGGTTTACTTTTATTTCCCGTTTATCGAGTGTAAAAACAAGTTTACATAAATATTTTTGGAAAACAAACACTTCTCTTACTAACACCACGCCACTGGACGCCACGCACCATGTCTACTGCCATGAATGTAACTTTGTAGAACGGTAGGTTTGAACGGTCGCCACTGTGAGTCTTCCCTTCCCTTTATTATACTGCTTTGCGCCTAGTTACTGTCGATGGTATTTTTTTTAAATAAAGGGTAAAATTTATTATTCTTCTTCATGCCCTTGTCTCACATTAGGTGGGGTCGGCGGCGAAGATATGTTGCATAAGGATTTAACAAGAATTTTACTACTGGCCGCTTAGCTGGCGTCCGGCGTCCTTCCTGGTCCCTCCATGGAAATGCTCATTCTGGTATAAAATTATAGCCAGAATGAGTCCCTTAATCCCCTCCTGTGACATCCCCGAGAAGATCGAAGAGAACCACCGAGAACCACATGTCCGCAAAACATAACAGAACTACCCCACAATGCCCCTTTTTATTGCTGTAAAGAAAGTGGACTTCCTATAATGTTAACTTTTTCAGCGCTTACACTGTTTGAAAAGCAGTTCGAATTAATGTAGAATATCAATAAAACAACAACAATGTAGAAATGTGAACGAATTTATATGAAAATACACTTTAAGTTTCGTTTCTTTGTTTTTACAGTTTTTGTGTTGTAATAATGTAAAATAAAATTAAATGTATTAATAAAGTAAAGTAAAATTACATGTAATGTAAAGTATTGTAATAATGTAAATAGTAGTCGATTTTTAATTTAATATGTAGTCTTATTTACAAAATGATATCAATAAGTAGGTACACTTAGAAGATCATAGATCATATATTTCCTTTTCATATTTACTGCTTAATGCAGTGTACAAGCTTTCCGATTATAGTTTCCATTTTCATTTAAATAGTAGGTATTAAGCGCCCACCGGATAGTTCTTTTCAGTTAATTAAGTAATTCATTCAAAGAACCGAGCATTGAGCTGTCTAAGGTGTTCTTCAATAAAAGTGCGTTCGAAGAAGTTACGACAGCAAGAAATACGAACTTATTCGGTCAGCAAATACCGAAACCTTTCTAGTTTGACCATAGCACCGTGTCAACAGTTAGCTGAATTATGTGCAGTGGGCAGCGCCAATTTTTTGTAAGCACAAGATTTCATAACGGTCTGGTACTTTACAAGCACTTAAGTAGGTATATTTACTCTTTGTAAGCTAATGGATATTTGTTTGCCGGTAAAACTAGTTTCCTCAAAATGATTGTAGCTTTGTCCCTAAACTGAGTTTTGTTTGACGAGATTATTTGATATTTGTATAAAACTCAGTGTCTTCTTTATCTTATAGATTAAAGACGTATTTATTTAATAAATGGTTAAAAACCAATTTTTCGTTAGTTTCATTTCAGTTAAAATTCTCCGTCGGGGCGTTTCAAATGAGACCAATTACTTGGAGCACAGAAATGCTTTATTCATACCTGCATAACTGAATGTTGGATTTATTCTTGACGATATTGAGGTTATTGCACTGATTGTGATCTCGATGAAGCTGGACTAACAGAGTAGCGGTTTAGACTTTGAAAAGCAACCGATGATTTATCATACTCACTTATAGTAACGGTATGACATGAACCTCTGTCCGCGGTGTTAACTAAACGCTATGTCTATATTTAAAGGAGGTTTGAAAAGAGTCCTCAACGATATCCAGCGTCTTGGCAGGATGGCATTTTACTTGTCCACTAGTGACGTGGATTGCTGATTACACATACTATGAGATGAGTATTCTTCACCCTTCGAGGACAGGCTTTCATAATTAGTTTGAAGTCGTGGTGGCCTAAAGGATAAGGCGTCCGGTGCATTCGTATGTAGCGATGCACCGGTGTTCGAATCCCGCTGGCAGGTACCAATTTTTTAAATGAAATACGTACTTAACAAATGTTCACAATTGACTTCCACGGTGAAGGAAAATAACATCGTGTAATAAAAATCAAACACGCAAAAATATAATTCGCGTAATTACAGGTGGTAGGACCTCTTGTGAGTCCGCACGGGTAGGTACCACCACCCTGCCTATTTCTGCAGCAGTAATGCGTTTCGGTCTGAAGGGTAGGGCAGCCGTTGTAACTATACTGAGATCTTAGAACTTATATCTCAAGGTGGGTGGCGCACTTACGTTGTAGATGTCTATGGGCTCCAGTAACTACTTAACACCAGGTGGGCTGTGAGCTCGTCCACCCAACCAAGCAATTTTTTTTTTTTTAAAAATTCGTATTTTTAACTGGTTACACTTTGCTTTAGTTTATCTTAATATATCTTAAGATGACGTTATTTTATCAGTCGTAGCGCAAAACTATATCGTTTTAAATGTGCTCACTATAGTCTTTACATAATTAAATTGTTGATTGTTAAAATCATTCTATTCGTTCAGACGAAGGCTACAACACTTTTTTTAAATTTAAACAGCACTAAGAACCATCGTAGCTCGGCCTCTAGCATTGCTGATGGCCATGAACAATGGGAACCACTCACCATCAGGTAGGCTGTATGCTCGTCTGCCTACAATTGCAATTAAAAAAACTTTTAAACCACATTAATGTTTCTATTTAAAATAGTATTGTATTTCATTAATGTAAATGAATCATTGTTTTACTATTTCTACCATTACGACCTACCAAATGTTATAAATTACATAAATAAAATAGATAACTTCAGATATCTTGATCATCGTGTTCGTGAATGTCTCAAACAAGTAATGTAAATTTTCTGGAATGAAATGTCGGCGGCATACATGCATGTCTAATAGAATAATTTAGATTCCAAATGTAGGCACATAACTATTGCGTCATGCGTCACCAAAAAAAGCTGCATAAATTAATATCAGTTAAATGAAAATTTTAGTAAAAATATAAATGTACGGACAAAAAACTTCAGCCAGTACCTTTTTTCCTCTGTTTGGCAACCGATTTTGTTATATTTTGAAAATTTTAAATAAGTATGTTTAGTTGTTGCTTGAAGATAAGCTATAGGGCTTTGATTTTTTAAGGAAAAAGTATTTTCCCAGCAATTAAAAAAAATTCAAAACAAAATAAATTTCGTACATCTAAGTGATGAGGTGTCAGTAATTGTGGTCGTGTTTTTTTTTTGTAATAGAAGGATTTTAATTGGTCCAGAGACTTTGCCACTCAACTAGAATGGGTGGGCGAGTCCGAGGGCTCAAGCAGGAGGAGCGGATTTCAAACACTGCTCAGCGCCTCCGGAAGAGTCCTAAAAAGATTTGCTTCAAGAGTGCATCTGCTACCTATCACCGGAACGAACTCGCGCCCTCTTAGAAAAAACTTAGCAAGAGACTTATCATAAGCCCACGTGGAGCTCACAGGCGTCGTGAGGTCTTGTCACTTCCACCATGAGACTTGGGTTTGAAGTCTCGATTACAGTGAATATTTGTACCGAAATATATGTAAGTACTTATAGGTATTATAATTCTCGGTAAAAAATAAAAGAGTTCATAATAACCTCTATAATTTTCTATTTCGTATTCAATAGCAAAATTTAAAATTTGTAATATATCCCAAAAAAAAAACGAAATAACATAAGTAGATGCTAATGCACCAATTATAGATAATCCAACTAAATGCACAATGATTACCCACTTAAAACGGACCGGTAATTCGTAATTGTGGTCAATAGGAATCAAGATTTTCTGTTCGCGAGTTGTTTCGCAACATGTCCTATTTGAGGCGTTTAAAGGGTTTTATTGAAAAGGATTATTTCGATTTCGAGAGGCCCGACATCAATTTATACAATTTCCATCCACAACTACGTATTTTACTTATTGTAAATGGTATATTTTTTAATAACCGCAACTCTCGTATCAGGTAATTTTTATCTTAGTAATTTTAACTTATAACATATGGCCACTGATTGTAGCTGGAGTATTAGACATTTTTAAATGACCTAAACTATAAAAGAGTTGCAGAAACGATTTGAAATGACTTAGTAATCAGTTGGAACAGCGAACGGTCACCTGAAGTGAAACGAAAGAAGTGAATCATGTTTTTTTTTAATTTACTAACTAAATTAAACTAAAGTATAACTAGCTTCACCGGATGTATAGGCGAGCTCACGGGTCTCAGCCTGGAGAGAGTTAACACTAGCCCTAGCAAGAGCAGTCCTTCGCTGAATATACTCCCCGATCGGAATCGCGACCCACTGAAAAGAACCGGCGAGAAACTCAGTGGGCTGTGTCTGCGAGTTAGTTCGACGAGAACGGTGACTAATACTTAGAATGACAAACAGCATCGATAGTGGAACGGGAAGTTCCGAAATGATGTGTGATATAATTAAATTATTATTTGTACTGCGCTGAAAATTTAATTTATCCCTAGACCTAGCGTGTAGGTATCTAAAACATTTGATTATGGACATCCAAGATATCAATAACATTAATAACGTTTTTCAGATTAATTTGGCCTGGAGGATCTATTTTGTTATGCATGCTAGCTGTTTGTTTGGAATCGATGTTCATATATCATGGCCTCACTACTAAAGACTACTCATTCGCAACAGAATGCTTCTGTTGTTTTGTCCTGCTGGGGACGATGCCTGTAGTCAGTTTAAGTGTGCTCAAAAACAAAGATAATATCTTAGACTTGATCGAAAATATGAATGAAAATTTCATTTATATACGCCGTTTAGAAAGCAAATATCGGTATGATGGTTTTGAAGTATTTTTATTAGCCTAAATATTTGACAGAGGCTAGTATATATCATTTATTTTGACGTCCCAGAATGCAAGCCTTCAAAGAGTCTATAATCGTTTCTAGTCCTATCTAGTTTTTTTTATTAGTTTCCACACTATGTCGTCGTGGATTTTCTTTTTTTTTATGAATACTAGTAACACAAATCTATACAAGAACGTTTAGGTAGGTACCCAGATCTCTAATACCTACTAGATGTAACCAAAAAAGATACTTACTCTGGCCGGGAATCATACCTGGATTCGATGGTATAGAAATCGGGATCACTAACTTAATTAAGAGTCCCTAAGGTGAGCGCGCATAAGGGCGCACCTCATAGATACTACAACATAAGCGTCAACAGCGAACAATAGTTGGAAGTATCTATGTTATTTGAAGGAATCTGAATTTAAATCGAAAAAGACTAAACAGTTTTTTCACATGACCGTTTTCTCCGCAGTTAACCCATTTTTTTTAAATGTGTATAAAGGCGAAACTTGTGTTTTCAAACGAAAAATATAGCCACAGTCACGTTTTTTTTTAAGTCACCAACAAAACAAAAGAGAAAATGTTTTAGATATTATTCTATTCTATCAGCCCACAGGCACCCGATATCCACTACTGGACATAGGCCTCCTTCAAGCCTCGCCACAAAGATCGGTCCTGCGCTGCTTGCATCCAACGCATTACTTATCATTTTATCCATTGTATTATATACCTACATATATTATAAATCTTGAGGTGTTAGCGATTATCGTCATTGCCATTACACGATATTATTTTTGAGATTCTTTTAATTACACGCTACGCTTAGATTAGCGACATCATTTTTTCTATACATTGGGGGTACTTTTAATTTTATTAATAAATTTTCATCCGGCTGTCCTCTCTTCACTGTAAGATAGTCTGTGGAGGCCTAGGCACACATACAAGACTTGGTTTTATTAATTATAATTTTTTTTTTTCAGTAACTCATTCTTAGAAGGGCAACTAATCATTTGGAAATTTTACAATGCGTGGTTAATATTTTGTTGTATCGTGTGCGGTACTTTTTTCATGTTCCCAGTTTTTGTTCTAATGTACCAGAGTCTATTTCCTTCACTGGACGAGGATACGACTAGGCCACTAGTGTTTCCGATATGGTTGCCCAAATTGGACGGTTATAGTACACCCATTTATGAAATATTTTTAATTTTGGAAATTAATTATTGCTTGATATTCCTTCAAACGTTTTGTGGTAAGTTATTATATTAGGTATTAATAGACTGCTTGTGATACCAAAACGAGAATAAATTATTGGATTTTGTCATTTTACAAAATTAATGTACTTATTATAAAAGTAAAATCTGTAGAAAGACTTTTGTCAAATGAAATCTCTTCCAGTACACCCTAAAGATGAAATAGCGAACGGTTAATTTCGAACACCCAAAAAAAAACGAAAGAACTTCAAAGAACCTCATAAAACTCTTAAAAAACCACTATGTACTTTTAAGTATTATGCTAAACAGAGCACATACGATCAAAGAAGTTATTTCGTGAAACCATAATTCTTACGTAAACATAGATTCCACGTGCCAGCGTACCTGTCTGAATTTTTTATAAATTTGAGTGCATTACAAAACATTTTAGTTGGTAAATTTATTTTTGCACGTGGTTTGCTCGTTTCTGAGAACAATTTCAATATGGCGTATTAATTATGTAAGTAGGTATGCGATTAACGATTTTGTTCATTTGTGTATTAAAAATAATGTTTAATCTCTAATTTTCAGTTTACATCTACACATTGTTTCACATACTTTTGCATTTTTATTACATACTCCACATGATTAAATTTGATTTAGAAGCGATATTTGACGATATTAACGAATCCGTTGCCCTATTACCGCACCGTGATACTCGTAGGATTGAAGTTCAGAAAATCCTAAATGGAAGGATGAAGAGGATCGTAACGTGGCACATATCTGTGTTCAAGTAAATTCATTTATTTTTTTACGTTGAATTTAATTTTAAATGATTGCCCAAGATCTACATAATATTTGTGTTTTAATGATAGAAATCTAATTATTTTTCTTTATAGAAATTGGTTTCTTTGATTTGTATCTGGGCGATTAATACTTGTAAAAGTAGGAACATATTAAAACGTATAATTAAATCAGTATCATCCGCCGGTCATCGTTGTCGTCGAACCCGTCCTTTGCGACGAAGGGCTCGGCGAGTAAATTAACCCACAGACACAGCCCACTGAGTTTCTCGCCGAATCTTCTCAGTGGGTCGCTTTTCCGATCCGGTGGTAGATTCTGCGATGCGCTGCTCTTGCTAGGGTTAGTGTTAGCACCGACGTCAAGTTAGAGCCCCGTGAGCTCACGTACTTGTTAGGTTACGCTGACATAGTCTCTCAAGGCTTCATCATCTCATCATCTCAGTCTGCCCCCTGTACACTGCTCATATAGACCAGTCCGTTGCCACCTGCATCCGACGTGACCCAGCGATTCTCACTAAGTCGTCGGTCCATCTGCTAAGTGGCCGTCCCATGTCGTCAACTTTGGTTCTTCTACGGATCTCCTCATTTCTGATTCGGTCTCGTAGAGAAATACCAAGCATATCAGCTTAGAGAGGAAAAAAATATATCTGGTTATAATGTACCGGAAATCCTAGCATATTCTAATTCTCTCGTGTTAGACATGCACCACGTTTTTACAAGCTTCCATTTTGTCACTCCGTGATCAAAAGCTACCAGTAGATTTTTAGATCGTAGGTTATAATATATCGTAGGTTATACTTAGTAGTTGTTATCGCATTTCCTAGGTATACCAAAAAATGATAAAAGGTATCCTGTGCTAAGGATACCTACCACCACCTGGAGAGCACCTACTAAACGTAGTCTTCAAAAGGACTAGATATTCGAATGTCTAATGTGATTAGAATATTGACGTTACAGAGCAGTCGAAGCAGTGTCTTCTATTTATGGTCCGCCTTTGGCTTATCAAGTAATGTTCACTTCTATTGCAATTTGTCTAATTGCCATCCAAATTACACAGGTAAAGTGCCTACATATTATTTTATTTTAGTAGGTACCAACATTAGTAGGGATGATAAAATCGTCCTGCCTATTTCTGCAAAGGAAGGGTAATACTATATTTTTTATTTTAATTTATTTTTATTGCTTTTTTGAGTGGACGAGCTCACAGCCCACCTGGTGTTAAGTGGTTACTGGAGCCCATAGACATCTACAACGTAAATGTGTCACCCATCTTGAAGTATAAGTTGTAAGGTCTCAGTATAGTTACAACGGCTACCCCACCCTTCAAACCGAAACGCATTAGTGCTTCACGGCAGAAATAGGAGGGGTGGTGGTACCTATCCGTGCGGACTCACAAGAAGTCCTATCACCAGTAATTACGCAAATTATAATTTTGCGGGTTTGATTTTTATTACACGGTGTTATTCCTTCACCGTGGAAGTCAATCATGAACATTTGTTGAGTACGTTACTCATTAGAAAAATTGGTACCCGCCTGCGGAATTCGCACACCGTTGCATCGCTAGATACGAATGCACCGGACTTCTTATCCTTTAGGCCACGACGACTTCAACGGACAAGGTCATTCATGAGTAATTCATCATTCTTATCATAATTATAGTAACGCTGACCTAACTTAACATCCATAGTCCGATTTCACAACATAATAATAGGAAGTTTTTTGAATGAGCGATTAACAGGATTTTGAATGCAATCGGAGTCCATACATTAGAGAAAACCATTACGTTGGCTTAAGATTTGATACACGAGATCAATAATTTGCAATACTTTACGTTTGAGCAAAAAGTTCTGCTATAGGGCCTGTATTGCTAATCGTATCACAGCACAACACATTTTGCAATTATTATTCTTCGATGAAGAGTACTACTGACGAAACCAGGTTAATTTATTATGTACTATTTCTGAATATACATCTCTAAATCACAAATTACCGGCTTTAAAAAGTTAGTAACGAAATGATGATGAGTGATGAGTTTGATGTTTTTCAGAAATTAGAAAACGGCATCTTGGATATAAGGTTTACAATGTTAGGAGTTGCTGCGTGCCTGCAAATGTGGATACCTTGTTATCTTGGGACTCTGTTAAGGAATAAGGTGACCATTCATTTGATTCAGCATTTAAGCTAACGTAACCGGTTGTGACATAAATGGATAGTTGTGCTATTTAAATCATTCACCATTTCTCCAATACTGTCTTTACCATAAGGGCACACGGGGCCCGTGCCCAGGGCCCCCATTTTCAGGGGGCCCCGAAAGACCGACAATTTCTCTCACACGTTTATTCTCAAAACATTTTTGTCGGGCACATTACACTTTTTTCACAAATCAGCAATCAGAAGGTATTTACATTTTTTTTTTTTTTAAACCTAAGCTGAGAGCCTTGATAGGCTATATCAGCGTAACCCTGAGCTCACGGGGCTCAACCCTGGTGACGTTGCTAACACGAACCCTAGCAAGGGCCGTGCTTCGCAGAATCTAACACCGGATCGGAAACGCGACCCACTGAGAAGATCCGGCGAGAAACTCAGTGGGCTGTGTCTGAGAGTTAATTTACTCGTCGAGCCCTTCGTCGCAAGCGACGGGTTCGACGAGAACGGTGACCGGTGCTTGAAGTACCTAAAAGCACCGTTAGTGGATCGGGATGATCCGAGATGACGTGGAAGGTGTTTACAAGGCATATACTATGACTATGATAGAAGATTTTGCTCAACAGAAATCCCGAAAGAAACCGTTATCGAAATCGTAACCAAAAAACCAGCAGCATTCTAATATCATTAATGACATATTATATCATACTGTATGTGATTACCTATAATAAATGGTCTCAAACTCAGTAAAAAATGTTATTATAATTCGCTTTTTTTACTTTCTAAAAGGGCCTCAAACTCTTGAGCGCCCAAGGGCCCCATCCTAGTTTAAGACGTCCCTGCATTTCTCCCGTTACTGAGCAATAAAAATCAGTCAGTATCATAGATAATAAACATATTATTTATGAGTCGGTATTTAATAACAATGTGAATCTTCAAGCTGAGGGCCGTTTTTAATACTTTATTGAATCTCCTTAAAAAGTGCAACGTGATACACTTTGCCTTATTTTTTTTTGGGCTAGAAGGAAATCGCCGACCGGCGGTGATAGGCGAGGTAATATGAAGCTGCTTATGAATACAATTTCAATAAAAATAAAGTTTTTCGTTTATAGGCGTTTGGAGTCGGCGAAGCATGTTGGAACAGTGGCTGGCACCAGACTCCACTAGGCAGGATGATCCGACAGGATATTATCATAGTCTTGCTCAGAGCCCAGCAACCAGTCACTATAAAATTCCCTGGACTGCAAAGTATTCAACTAGAAACATTTTCTTCGGTAATTTTTAATTTGTATGGGTATTATCATTATTATTGCTTAGATGGGTAGACGAGCTCACAGCCCACCTGGTGTTAAGTGGTTACTGGAGCCCATAGACATCCATAACGTAAATGCGCCACCCACCTTGAGATATGAGTTCTGAGTCTTAGTTTTATAGCGCAACGGCTCCCCGCCTTTCAAACAGAAAGCGATACAGCTTCACGACAGGAATAGCCGGGGCAGTACAAGCCCGTGTGGGATCAGAAGACAGACGACCAGTAAAAAATAAATACGAACGTAACATGTTTAGTGTTACAACTCTCAGACACAGCCCACTGAGTTTCTCGCCGGATCTTCTCAGTGGGTCGCGTTTCCGATCCGGTGGTAGATTCTGCGAAGCACGGCTCTTGCTAGGGTTCGTGTTAGCAACGTCATCAGGTTTGAGCCCCGTGAGCTCACCTACAAAAGTTAGGGTTACGCTGAAATAGCCTCTCAAGACACTCAGCTTAGGTAGGAAAAAAAAAAAAAATTGTGTTACACTGTCTTACACAGTAAATTATTAATAGTAAATTATGTATTGGTATTGTGAATAGTACCAATTTTATGACTTGATGCCAGTATAAAGACATCACTTACATTAGGCTATACCTGTATTAAGTTGCCAATTGTCATGTTTAATAAAACTTTTATCTTTCAGATTATGACCACATCATACTCGTACTTCAATATGTTGAGACAGTATAGTTGACGAGTTTAAAAAAAATCATTATAATGAAAATATTAATTCACAGTAAATGTTTCAAGCACATAACCCATTGCGTTTCTCTCTGGATCTTCTCAGTGGGTTGTGATATCGATCTAGAGGTAGATTCAGCAAAGCACTGCTTTTGTTAATGAAGATGTTAGAAGATTCTTTCCGGCAGAGGGTTTGCCCACAAGTTATGGTGAAGCCAGAATAGCCTATCAAGGCTACTGGCAGATAGGTAGAAAAAAAAACAACCACATTCAGTAGCTATTATACAATAGTATCTTTTAAGCACTATACCACACTTTAGTTTTCTTAAATGATAAATAATGTTTACAGTATGGTGTTTTAATGCAAAGATCCTTTATCTTCTGGAAGCAAAAAGTATATTGGTACTGGCCCTTTGCTTGTGTGAACAATTTCTTCATGCCTTATAAGCTGGGTTGCTGCAAGGCCATACAGTAAACAAGGTATACCTGAAACAAAATTTACTACCAAATGGATCACTATTGCCATGGTTGATACACAAAAGTCGAAAGTTTTGAAGTCGACGTGGCCTAAGGGATAGGACGTTCGGTGCATTCGTGTTGAGCGATGCACCGGTGTTCGAATCTCAGGCGGGTACCAATTTTTCTAATTAAATACGCACTCAACAAAAGTTCACAATTGACTTCTAGGGTGAAGGAATAACATCGTGTAATAAAAATCAAACCCGCAAAATTATAATTTGCGTAATTACTGGTGGTAGGACCTATTGTGAGTCCGCGCGGGTAGGTGCCACCACCCTGCCTATTTCTGCCGTGAAGCAGTATTGCGTTTCGGTTTGAAGGGTGGGGCAGCCGTTGTAACTATACTTGAGACCTTAGAACTTATATCTCAAGGTGGGTGGCGCATTTACGTTGTAGATGTCTATGGGCTCCAGTAAGCACTTAACACTAGGTGGACTGTGAGCTCGTCCACCTATCTAAGCCATAAAAAAAAATTGAAGTCTCCTAAGTATAGTTTATTTTATCATGTTTATTTATAACTAATGCACACAAAAAAGTGGTTTACAAATAAGCTAAAATTTAAAAATGTTAAGATTGCAAAAATGTCACTTAAGCCAAAAAGCCTTTCACCCCTTGATATAGATTTATTCTTAACAGACACTATTGAAACTTCAACCTTAAGGTCTTGAGGTGATGATAGCATTCACAGTGTGACCTCTGGGCTTTGGCAGCATTTTTTTTTTTAATAGCACTTGTTGGCAGACGAGCATACGGCCCACCTGATGGTGAGTGGTTACCACCGCCCATGGACATCAGCAATGCCAGGGGCAGAGTCAAGCCGCTGCCTATCGCTTAATACTCTCCACAAGCCTCGTTGGAAGAAGGACATGTCATAGTGCTCGGGAAACACCATGGAGGAGCTCATTCCATAGCCGGATGGTAAGTGGCAACGCTACTTAAAACACAACTTAACACCTGATGCGCAATGACATTATTTATAAATCTATGCAATAAATAAAAAAAAACTAAACAAGTGGTCTCAACATCACCTCAGGGACTCATCTGCCTATTTACTACAACTGTAAGTTTATAAATTACTTTTGTGCCTTTTTTTTTAATTTTTTATATTGCTTACATTGTTGGACGGGCTCACAGCCCACCTGATGTTAAGTGGTTACTAGAGCCCATGGACATCTACAACATAAATGCGCCTCCCACCATACTTTAATTTTTTCAACAATGTCCAAAAATTTTATATTTCCCACCTGATGTTAAGTGGTTACTAGAGCCCATGGACATCTACAACATAAATGCGCCTCCCACCATACTTAAATTTTTTCAACAATGTGCAAAGATTTTATATTTACTAACTAATATGTAGTATCAAATGAAAATCAACATGAATTCAAGCAAACAATATCTGAACCGTAAACTGAACTCTATTAACATAGCATATGTTGGGCCTTCAGTTAATATTAATGAATAATATAGAAAAAATATATTTATAAATTGAAATACAAAAAAATTTACAGTTACATACCTAAATTTGCAACCTTTATAATTCTCATAAATTTATCTGACATATTTAGGTCTTCTGCCCTTTTTCTAGAACAGTGATATTTTATATATGGAAAACAACCAGTTCTTAATATTTGATAGTTTGAACTACCAACCTTCCAATTAAAATTTGACATTCCAAACTGATCATCTTTCACATAACTGTACTGAAAAGAATGAATATTATTATACTGTAATAGATGTCTAAATAGTGATAAATAACTTCATATTTATTTATTGCTGTTAAATTTTGAAATTTCAAATCGCACATGGTTTGCAGGATATCACCTTTACAAAATAAGAAGTCCAAGGTGGTTCGTTACACTGAGTTAAATAGGCTGTTAGAACCTCGGATGATGTGGGTTTATTTGAAAATCTTGCAATCAGAGTAGCCATACATTTCCATTCCTGGCGTATATGAGGAGATACCACAAACATGATTTAGAAGAAATAATTTCTAGCTGAAATTATTGTAAAGTTAGAAATGTTTGTTTTATTTTCAAACTAATATGTAATGAATTAATGTCATGTATGTACGAAACCTTGAAACGTGGTCTTTATATTTAGCTAAGATTTAGGGTTTGTATGTAGTTCAGTTACCACCTAGCGAGCTTGGTTATAAATTAATATTGATAATATCAGTAGGTACTTAAGTACACAAAAATAATAAATGAAATTAATTGAAAATATTGAAATTGGACTGATTACGGTAGGTACCTAATAGTACTTTTTTTTTTTTAAGAGATTTTATGACCTGGTAACTGAGACCTTTAAGTCATGTCTTATTTTACTTTATATTCTTAATTTTATGAAAAATGATAATATGGAGTGAAATGAAATGAAGATGATTAATTTGAAACATTAATCAACTGGGATGAAATTTAATGAAATGAGATGATATGGGATGAAATATAATCGCAGTAAAATGGTGGTCATTTACTGAGATTTTTTCAGTGGACTTTTTGGANGACGGAGATATTTACGTATATTCATGTTTCATTTTATGTACGCACTGAAATACTGTTATATTGTTTTCCTGCGAGTTAAAGTGCTGAGTAAGAACGAGATAGATATATGTTTATGTATGTGCCTTCAAAATGGGTGCTATTTATATAAGCAATTGTACGTATAGAACAATATGTCGTGTCCCTACTATATAGGTCTATGACCTATGTACTACATATATGTCAATAATTTCAATTTGACATTTTTGATCGGTGGCAGTAGTGCTATTTTTCCAACAGAAAAGGCATAGGTATACCATAGTACGGCTTAATCTTTTATATTTTTTTTTATAAAAAATTATAATAGGTACTGAAATTAAATGAAGTTGATTAATTTTAAACATTAATCAAATGGCATGAAATTAAATGAGATGATATGGGATGAAATATATTATAATCTTAGTAAAATGGCGGTTATTTACTGAGACTTTTTCAGTGGACTGGAAGATCCTGAGAAGCTACGGCCAGCGCTTTGTTTCATTTCCCCACATTTTTTACAAATACTTCAGTTAATAAATCACCGTTATTACACATTCAAACCTGAAGAAACACTAGTCAAATTAGAAAAATCACACAACTCGCTCCTCGCGTTCCCGCCAAAGTCATGTCATCTATCAACACAAGTCTAGATATTATTGATATCTATTATCCGATCGAGAATTGACACATTTGAAATGTGGTGTTGTCGCAAAATGTTGGGCGTATCATGGACGGAGCGCAGAACAAATGTGTTATTCTAAAGGAGCTAAACGTCAAGACCCGTCTATCTACAATCTGTACGCAGCGTCTCCTTAAGTACTTCGGACACGTGGCCCGACAAATTCCTGAGAACTTGGAAAAATTAATAGTTGTAGGTCACGTGGAATTAAAGAGAAGTCGAGGAAGATTGCCAACCCGGTGAACGGACATTATCAAGGAGGCCACAAACACCAGCGTCCCGGGCGCCATTAAGTAGGCCGAATGCAGGAAACATTGGAGGAAGCTGGTGCAAAAACTGGACCAAGGTGGTCACGACCCTCAGTAATGAGGAAACGACAAAGAAGAAGAAGAAGAAGAAGATTATCCACGATGTCCACCGGAAAAGCAAAAGAAACCAAGTCCAAACAATACAAATATTTCGGAGCAAAACGCGTGTCCGTTGTACGAAATGTGAAATAGAACGAAATTAATTCAAAGTGTTGCATAAAATTGAATGAAATTAAATGAGTAGGTATAAGATAACATCTAGGATGTAATCTAACAATAGGTGTTAGATCACATGAAGTGCAATAATCTCTCAGTTCAACAAACGCCATTTACTGAGTTGAGACTACTAGACCAGAACAATGGGCATATTAACCCCTTTATCATGAGCGCCGCTAATTATATATCTGACCCAGGCGACGGGGCAGCGCAAAGCCGTCGTCGTCCGTTACTCCCGTTAGGCCTTTCAAGCACCGATCAGCGTCCTTATTTATCGAACTCGTCAATTACTGACAATTACGACGGAGAATGCGACGCAAATATTTTTATTAAACAAAACATACATTAGCCATTATGAAGGTGGTTCTAGTAAAAAAAAAACTTAAATTACCTTAATTCATTTACTTTTATTTTAATAATATTTTAATTAAACAACGTTTAACTTAGTCTTATAACCTAGAGCCAATGATGTTATAGTAAAAAGTTAAAAAGTTAAAGCTGTATGTTTTCTTCGCACAAATATAAAATTGTCTGTATTAAGGCACGATTGAATAGTTATAATTAACTAACTTATTAAACTTTAAAATCACCATATTATTATATCAAAACTACATGCGCAGTAATTAAGTTAACATAAATAGGTACATTTAGAAATATAATCATGTTTACAACAATCTGAAATCAGTGTAACATTACATTAATTTACTGTATGTAAGTTTATAAATATGACATTAGGTATGTAAAAAAATCCAGTTTTTGTAAAACCTATAATTATATATTTTTTGTTTAAAAAAAAAACACGTATTATTTATAGTAAAACTTTTATGATGAAATCTTTACTTAGTTACTTTTTTTAAGACCGTCGAATGTTCGATAAACTTTTCTATTCATACCTACCTAATTGTTTCTGGTTAAAGCCTCGAATAGCGAAATTACTTATATTGTATAGAACATTAAAATTACGTAACTTATTTAAATACGTTTTCATTATTAATATTAAAAAGACATCGATAGACCTCGATAAGACCTTGGCTACAGAGCCGATAAAATTTTCTTTTAGAATGATTCTTAGCATAACGTACTAGATAAAATTTTCTTTTAGAATGATTCTTAGCATAACGTACTACGAAGCTTCGAAGGGTTCATATAACTTGAAATATTTTAATTTCAATTGAAAGTTTTACCTGCATTCACCCTGAAAGTTAATCCAATTACTAACAAAAATAATCTAGTGTACCCAGGATTTAGTGAGCGTTTTAACTCATTCAATATGAGAGTATTTTAATTAAGTATGTAGGTAACTACCTATATCATCAGTGGCACAATAGCAGCAAAGCGTGGTCATGTTTTACTATATCAATAATATAACTATGTTTTACTGTATTTCACTTTATGTAAACCATATTGGTGAATGTTGATAAATTAATTAATTTTGTGTGCAAAGTACACAGTATATTTCAGTGTGCAGTCACAAAAATAAAAATGAAAGCTAGTTGTTATCTTGGCAATAAAATATACAAGCATACGTTTATTGTTAACAAAAGAAGTGTTTTGTCTACAAATAGTAAATTTAAAAATATATTTTGCGTTACTTTTGTAAATAAAAGATCATTGCAAAAGTTTTCTAGACATAAAAGGTCATCATTTCATGATTTATGAAATTAATAGATAAATTGTTCTGTGAAAAGATTTATTATTATTTAGATATACTAAACTAACATAAAGCTAAACTATTGAAGCAAGTTGAACACAATTATCTCATTTAGTGTGCCTGAAAAGTAATTTAACCCAATGAAAAGAGCCATGCATTTCTTATAAAGACACACCCGCAGTTATGTGATTTTCAGAGCCCAGAGAGATCAAGTCATTGCCTCAATTGTTTTTAGTATAACGGCTACCCACCTTTCAAAGTGGAACGCATTACTGCTTCGCGACATAATAGGTTGGGGAAAAAGTTTCTTCGCATTTTTAAGAAAATTTACAATTTTTTTAAATATGGTTTATTTACGTTTAACTAAAGTATGTAGATACCATTTTGTTCGATAACTTTTTGCCATCTTATAGGTAGAGACATGATCCCATTGCTATAGAAATTTTGGGGCTTCCCAAATACCGACCTTTTTTGTGTACCCAGTTTTTTTTTCAAATGCACTAAAACTATTTTGTGGTCAGTTTCCAGTTCTTCAGCTACGTCGTAACTACTGATATGCCGATCTTGCTCCACTTTTTCAAAAATGGCATCCATTTTATATCCCTCCGTAATAGGGCAACGTGCATCTTTGACTTTTTTTATTGCTTATATGGGTGGACGAGCTCACAGCCCACCTGGTGTTAAGTGCTTACTGGAGCCCATAGGCATCTACAACGTAAATGCGCCACCCACCTTGAGATAAGTTCTAAGGTCTCAGTATAGTTACAACGGCTGCCCCACCCTTCAAACCGAAACGCATTACTGCTTCACGGCAGAAATAGACGGGGTGGTGGTACCTACCTACCCGTGCAGACTCACAAAGGGTCCTACCACCAGTGATGACGCAAATTATAATTTTGCGGGTTTGATTTTGAAATGAATTGAATTTGAAATTTTAAAATGTATCGAATTTCTTCATTAGATTCACTCATCTTGACAGTACGAAAAATAAATAAAAATCATACATTTTCCTAATTTGAATTTGGAATTATCTTCTTTAAAATTTAAACTTTTAATGATACCAAAACCAGCTAGATACAAATAGTATATATAGCCAAAGAGATTTTATTACAAGTTTATACTTATTATAATGCGAAAAGACTTTTCCCCAGCCTATTATATTGATCGGACAGTGGTGTTAAGCATGTAGATTTACAATAAGCGCTACCAACAGTAATTGCGAAAATTTGCGAGTTTCTTTTTATTAAACGGTGTTATTCCTTCATCGTGGATCTCGATCGTCGGAGAGTTAAGTAGTTAAGAAGTATATCGGGTGTTCGCGCGACAGCGCGACGTTTGTAAATGTTCGGCTCAACTCGGGTGCCGTCGCCCGTACGCACCCCGCACCTCTCAGAACAGTGCGGTACATGACGGCACGCGGATATACGCTCGTTCGATATTGAGTAAATTGTGCGCGCGCGCCTTTCGTTACTAAGTAAAAGGTATAGTGTGAACCGGTGAAAAGGTGTATGTGCCACCCATCGCAGAGAAACACCACTACGACCGTGATAGTGCCAGCATCAGCCTCCAAGTAAGTCCCGTTTTCCTACCTACCCTTTCGTGTCCGCTCATTCTCCGCAGAGTTCATATGCTCCCTTTCAGCTCATCAGCTCACGTTTAAGGTGACGNAAAAGGTATAGTGTGAACCGGTGAAAAGGTGTATGTGCCACCCATCGCAGAGAAACACCACTACGACCGTGATAGTGCCAGCATCAGCCTCCAAGTAAGTCCCGTTTTCCTACCTACCCTTTCGTGTCCGCTCATTCTCCGCAGAGTTCATATGCTCCCTTTCAGCTCATCAGCTCACGTTTAAGGTGACGCTCACCTGCGTCACCATCGGGCCTATTATACTGGACTAAAAAAACCATTAAGTAAATTTAAACACCTACCATAATCACAATGAAAATAATAATGTATGTATAGGTATGTCGTTATTATCTTTAACTTTTAACGGGACATATCCTGTGGTGTAATAAATAATATTTTAGATTCGTTTCTTTCATTACCTTTTTAAGCTGATGGGCATACAGCTCATTTCATGGTAAGTAGTCACCGTCACTCATGGACATCATCAATGTAAGGGGTTACGTCTGTGCCTATATGATAAATTGATTTTTGTTTTTTTTTAAGAGAGGTTTTATATGTGAATTCTAAAAAAAACATTAGATAATTATCGTTACACGATTATATTAAAATTTCCTCATTACTACAACCACAAAATAATTTCAAATAATACAAAACTGTCATAAAAATGTATACATAAAATTAAACTTACAATATCCGCTTGAGGAAATTTCAGGTATTATTTTGAACATTCCAACTAAAGATGTTCCTTCCAACGTAGAGCCGCCTATTCGTATTCCATTTCGAATGCAATACAAGGGCGAACGTGATAAAACAATAACAATATTACTTCTCATGTGACCACACAGCAAATCCAATCATAAATTTTTTGTTTAAAAGATTTTAAAGAATAGAAATTGTGGGTTGAATTTTTTGCCCAAAACCAAAATTTTGTTTTTTAATAAATGACTAGATAATAAGACAATTCAAATACTCTCATAGGATACGATTAATTTAAATAAAAAAAATGTATGTACCTAATTCTTTGTTAAATACAATTTTGTTGCAGACTTATTATATACATTAATGCTATAAACTTTAAATTAATATGTAAATTGTGATTATCATTGTATCTACATCTATAATAAAAAATATATATTTAAATATTTAACAATCACTAATAATCCAATTTTTTATATGTTAATATAACAATTGGGTTCTCGGTTTTAAGAAAAACAGTTGTAAAACAGGTTTCAAGTCACGGGCTCACGTAAGTGCATTAACAGGTCAAAGTGTTAATAAATTTGCGATCAAAATAAATTCGATAGAATTCTATAGAATTTATTCAACGTATCTTCTTATAACTTCAGCCGCTTCCAACTCTCCCATATCTTCTAGGATGAATGCTAACGATTTCGATGATATTTCATTGTATTCCTGTAATGAGATACGTTTAATCACTACATAGTATAAAACAAAGTCGCTTTCTCTGTCCCCTATATCCCTATGTATGCTTAAATCTTTAAAGTACGCAACGGATTTTGATGCGGTTTTTTTAATAGATAGAGTGATTGAAGAGTAAGGATATGTATAATAACAACCATTAATTAGTGGAGAAGTCAATAATAAAGTACAGTTTCCGAAGCGAAGCGAGGGCGGGTCGCTAGTTGTAAATAATCGGCCGTGTATTTTCTTAGAATGAGGCCACTCTATTTCTTCCTTTCGAGTGTTGTAAAAAACAACCACTATAGAGCAGGTGGGTTACGAGATGGCCGGCGCGGGCGTGAAGCTCCCGCTCAGCCCCCGTAGGGACTAGAAGGTGGCGGGTGCGGGGGCGCCCGGTACTCGACTGTCGGTCCGGTGGTGGGGCGGTGCAAGGTGGCTCCTGTGCGCCGCCCACGGTGTATCTCCCGAAATGACGTCCTACGGGATTTTCCCGGAGATGAAATCCCGTCTTATCATCAGGACGGGTACCGGCGAAGGCGGACTTTCGGCGCGCACTGCGGTACCGTAGGTCTGGTGTAGCCGGTGTGGTGGAGCTCGATGGGGTTTAGTCGGTAGTCGTTCTGCGGGGCAAGTGCTTCGCGCGCCTTTTTCAAGGCGTAGTCTCTTGCGAGGAATTCGGNTAAAAGTTTTTTGTGTTTGATTTTTAAAGTATACATTTTTCTATTTTTAGTTGAATCCAAATAATTGAATTTATCTCTTGTGTTTGTATTAAACTTTTGAAATCTACACTCTTTTGGTATATTTTGTAATTTTAAATTCAGACACAAAATACTAAAAACTGAAAATAAAGTAGCCAGTCCTAAGCCTGGTAAAAGCACGAAGGAAAGTTTTTATGATATTTTTATTTTCATGTTCTTTTTATTACTTTAAGATCATATTATAAATTGATATCAGAAAACCAACCGTATAACGTTGACTTAAATCTATATCTACTACGATATTATATCAGCTTATCGTTTCAAATCTCAAATATCATGAATCGAGAAAATCTACTAGCATCCATCAATATACAGATTCAGAAAATATATAGATTCAATATCGGATATTGATCCTCGATATATAGATACGATTCGATACGCGGCAAAACCGATATTACCCACTCCTAGTAACTAGGTCATTTTGCTAATTATAAAATAAATGTGATAAGTAATTCCTTATTTATTTCTAATAGAGAAAAATATTTTTTAAATTCCAATTCAATTAATATCAGATGAAAAGACAACCGACAGATCAGAGTCCAAACCAGTGTAGGTTTTTTTCTACCTGAACCCGTTGGAAGCGAAGTAGTCATGTTTATTCACCATGAAATAACACAATAGCGTTAGCGTAAATTTTAGGGTATCGATAAGCGCGCGTCACAACTGTCAAAGACAACACTAGACATCAGACAACAGTGGGGAGGCGGGCGGAGCTGCCCCCCGCGCGTCGTCACTGGCCCCGATGGACATGAACTCGCGCGCATACTGTATGTAAGCCAGTTACAGGCATGTACAGCAATCTCTTATAACACACTATAACGTGTTACAGCAATTTTACAAACAGCGGAATAATAGGTTAAATTAAAATGTTAGCAGTACGACATAAAAAAAAAAAATATTGAAAAGAACATGAAAACAAGAGTTAATTACTTAACATTCTCTCATCAATTATAAACAAAGGAACTTGGATACTCAAAAAAATCGTTCAAAAAGAGGAAAAACTACTCCCGAGCGTAGTTTTACTAAATTAACGAGAGCAAAATATATTTAAATAGAAGATGATGATGATGACATTGGAGGCGTGGCCTAAGTGACGTCAACGATGGTGTGCTGTCCGGAAGGCGCGTGGCGTGATGTTGGAGCGCGTGGTGTGATGTTGGGGCGCGTTGGCACAGGGCATCCCTCTCTTTTTGCTCGCGGCAGTCGTGACGGATGGACGTTCACATCGTTGCACAATTATTGTATTTTATTATTGTCAAAGTTATCTGATTTCATTGTGTTAAAACTAGTTAATTTACATTGTTGGTTGCAATAAAAGTGATTTCTACCTAGGCAATTTCGTTGATGTTTTTGTAGTAAAATTAGGGTGCTTATAAAAATATATTTTTCAATCGATGAATAAAAAATAGGTCTTAATTTAATCACTTACGCCTTCATCGGCTGAATCGTAATCGTCCTCGGGTTCAGACTTGATCTCGTCATCAGGTTCAGACTTGATTTCGTCATCGGGTTCAGATTTCACACTATTATTCTCGAAGCCGTCTTCGAAGGCGATAGCTTCCAAGAGAAGTGCTCTTAGTTCAGGTTTATCGGCAGACATTTTCCAGGCAGATTCTTTCTGAGCGCCGTGAAAGTTAGGATCGGCCTGTGAATAAAAAAAACAGGTTTTGTATTCGCGAATGCCCACAAGTGAAATCAGAGACAGGAGGTCAAGTATCAAAGGACAATGCCCATTTTCTATGAGCGTTTGGACCCCAAAAAAGTTGTCGTGTTATGATGGTTTTAACTTAATTTGATAGACAAAGAAATATCGTTTCATATTAAGAAAACGATTTTTATATTCTCACCCAGGTTTAAGGGAAATCTGTTTTTTTTCTGCAGCTAAAATGAAGGTTATGTACCTATAGGTACCTGTTTTCTTCGAAATCAATAATCGCTCTCATAATTTAATCTCATAGTTACAATGTTAAATAAGTTAATTGTGCTTAATGTTGCTAGAAATAAGCCCTATACATTTTAATATTATATCCTCATAATAATAATAAAATGACGGTGGTTTCTGAGAATGGACTTCATTGACCCTTCTTTCGGTAGAAAGTAAACGTCTTTGTACCTACACTATTAATATTATAAAACTAGATAAAGGTTTGAGTAGCAGCCATATACAGCAGTCTATAGCATGTGAGATCACTACTTTGCTTTCAAGGGGTTGATTACATTATCGATAATTGTGTCAGAAACGGAGCACTAATTATGTGACACTTTATATAGATATATATATATATATATATACACTTACAATTGTTATGTGTATGGAAGTTGTAAGTCATTCTGACAATATTGATAGCAGGTTTATTAATAAATAGCTGTACCCGTCCGCTTCCATGGGCATTTAAAATTAACATTATTATTTCTCACTCCCACAAAGATTCTCATCATTAACGCCCCCGAAACTAGTGTAGGGAGTCCAACACTCATATTAGACTATCCATTAAGTACATGTATTTTCTACATGGATACCAAGATTCAAGTCAATCGGATGCACGGTTCAGTAATTATAACGGAACATCCGTAAAAACCACTGTAGATTTATATATTAGTATAAATAAAGTAATACACCAATCAATTGAAAAAAACATTTACTCTTCATAAAATATGTCATTTAGTGACAGTGCTGGGGCGATTATATCAGTAAAACGTCCCCAGTTTAAATACCATAATACGGTCATCGTATGAGCGCAGCACCCTACTGTACGATTTTTGATTAATTTAACAAAACATATTTCCACTTATAAGTCAATGTATTCTAGAAACAACAACCCTTCAAATTCATTCAATTAACCAAAGTGATTTGCACCTTCAGAAAAGAGCATCAACCACAAGTTTTTTTGTTACATGTTATTGTGCATTATAAGGCTTTAATATTAGAAAATCATGTATTTTTCTTTAAAATTATATCAATTAACACTAGGATAAGATTAGAGTATTTCAAATGATTTTATTGTGAGTTTGTTAAAAACCGAAAAACCGATACAACTTTAAAAATATTTAATTTCGGAACGATCTTTTTCTTCCAAATTCAGCAAACGGGACAGAGACAATGAAGCAGGGTCAGCTACATGTCCGGCAAAGTGACTTCATGGTACGAATTGAAAACCTGTCAGGTTCGACAAAAAGTTGAACTGCTCGGAACTTGGCAGTTTTCTATAAAGTTCATGGTTGGGCCCCAGTTCTAAGTTTGATTAAAAATATACTGAGAGCTACAGAAGGATTTGGAAAATCATTGTATAAGAGTTCAAGTTGCTCTGCACTAAGTCCCAACCAATAGGTGTGAATAGGCATAAGTGTGAATCTATCGAGCTAATGTCATTAAAGTCCACGATGATATAGTTTTGTAAATATATCATCAACTTGAATACCAGTAAAGTCTGAGCATGGAGTTTGTAGTTCAGCCCAAGTATTTGCTGTACAAATGATATATACATATTCGAGCACTAATTCCGGGTTCTAACAGAGAGTCTGTGTTCTCGCACCTAATAAACAAGCAATGTTGTGAGCTTGCAGAAACCCGTTTATATTTTAGAGAGTTTATTGTAGTTTGTATTGGCCACAAATGTTGTACTTGAGGTGCCTGAACTGGTAGTGGAGGTGGTTGAGGAATCACAGCATCTTCAATGCTGCCAGATTCCACTGACTCCAAGACAGGTCTATCAATGTCATGTCGTCCTTGTCTACACACATCTCTTGTTGCAGCCTCCCAACAAGCCCTACAAACTCGCTCCAAACGTATGATCTAAAACATGGAAGATTAATTATTTTTACTGACAAAAGTTATTAATTTGCCAAGTTAATAATACATACTTGATGAGCAGGAGTCCATCTTAAAATATAATACCTTTGAAGACAGTCTTGCGAAACTCTGCGAGTTCTGCGATTAGCAATTGACATGCCACATCCAAAACATATGTTTAGATGTCCAAGAGCAGCGGATATATTTACTTGAGAAGAAACTGTGTTTGTTATTACTCGCTCTTGCAATAATACAAAGCATTCATTACATAGAATGTCATCAGGGGATACCTTAAAAAGAAAATATAGAATGACTTTGCCTCTACACAAGCATTAGCTAGTTTTCACAGTACACATTCAGATAATGAATTGAGAATTATTATGAATCATGTTTTTATAAACACACGGTCACACCCAATAATTTGTAATGCATATCAAGAATGTTAAGGTCAGAATGTTTTACAGAACATATAAACTTACGGGTGTAGGCGTTATCCAGGTTTGTAGAAGGTTCAGCATTTGTTCGTCTAATTCGGCAATAGGTCTTCTACGAAGAGTTGGTGCCAAACGCAGCGAACAATTCGCACATCGGCGAGAGAGAGGGTGGTTTAGCCGAGCTCGACCAGGTGTAGACATTTTTCAAGTTAACACTAATTATTATGAATGCAAACACTCACTTAATTTTAAAACAAAAGTCAATACGCTCACACTGCTTACAATACACAAATTCGCTGGAAGAACGGAGACGCTGAACTCGATAGGATAAATATCGTAACGTATCAGAAGTAGAAGTAAATACGGAGGAATATAAACTAAACTCGACGTAAAAACAACAGCATGAAATGAAAATCCGGAGCCGGCAACGATATACCGTAAAATGGGGCGATTAGGGACAAATTCCAACTTTATGAGCAATTTTAAGGTAGTTGTTGATGTATATAATGCTATATCAGGATCAAAATGATTGAGTCTTGGGGGCATCTTTGTTGTCTAATTTAAAATTTTACAACTAGCATTCCAGTTTAAGCAAAAAATGCAAAAATAGGTGTAATCCCTATTTACCCGAAATTGCGGTTAATTGGGACGAAATGAGAAATTTGCTAGGGTTGGCACTACTTTTATTTTTATATATAGTTTTAATTTATTTATTTATTTAATTGCACCAACAAAGTGATCATCAATAAAAAAAATTGAAAAACTGACAAAAGTACATGGCAGACATCACCTCGATTATAGGTGCAATCGACAGTGCTGATATTTCTATCTGGGTTAAGAGATTAGGTGTGTCGGTTATTCCATGGATTAATCAGATGACAGACTATACTGAGACCTTAGAACTTATATCTCAAGGTGGGTGGCGCATTTACGTTGTAGATGTCTATGGGCTCCAGTAACCACTTAACACCAGGTGGGCTGTGAGCTCGTCCACACATCTAAGCAATAAAAAAATAAATAAAAAAAAGTAATTTTTTTTTTGTAAAACAATGCCGTGGTGAAAGAAATGTTAATACATAAACTAAACAACGTGAAAAAAAAGGCATAGTTTTTCAAGTACAAATACTTTTGACACAAAGTTGGCCCACTTTTGGGCATTTGTCCTTTAACTTTGAAAGTTGCTCTTTTTTTTCCTACCTATGCTGATGGCCTTAAAGGGCTATATCAGCTTCACCTTGATGTGTAGGTGAGCTCTCGGGGCTCAAACCGGGTGTGTTGCTAACACTGGCCCTAGCAAGAGTAGTGCTTCGCAAAATCTACCACCGGATCGGAAACGCGACCCAATGAGAAGATCCGGCGAGAAACACAGTATCATAATGTATGCAAGCTATTTTACTATCTTTATGCACAACTTAGATCGTTATAACAGGTTGAAGGTAAATATCTTTTGCATGTCAAATATAAAACGATCAAACTTGAGTATAAAAAAGTACGTAAAACTTCTTTCTTATTTTCTTCCTATCTTACGTCAGAAGTCTCACTTCTGCCACATGTAGAGCGACTTCTGACATTCAATTTCATTTCATAAATTCCATTCAATGATAGTTCTACTCACCTTTTTCGCAAGTAATAGTTTGACGATCTCCACGGAGTTCTGTCTTAAGGGCCCGCCACAAACAATCTGTAGTGCTGTGTTGCCTGATTCATCGGTTGCATCTATTTCTTTCTGTAAAAATAGTAGAACATTAATGATCGTTGCCAAAATTATACGACACTAAAAACTTTTATTGATCTGTCATATTAATTTGAATGTCTCTTTTAATTTACACTTTATTTTACATTAGTCGATGGATAATAAGTCATTTTATTTGTGGTAGACAACTATAGGATGTTTTAAGCCTGCGCGAGCAGGTACCTACCTCCGTCCTACCCATATAAGCAATCACGACTATCGGTTTGAAGGAGACTCACACCGTTTTCAACGTTGCTGATTACTGCGGCTACCAGTTATCATTGCTGGCTTTTTTCTTTTGTTTTGATTTTTTTATCAATTTCTTATATTCACTGCACGATTATGATCGCACGTTATAATAATTACGGTTATAAAGTCAAGTTTTAACCCTTTTCTGCTGAGCTTATTTCTACGTATTTTGCAGATATTGCAAACGGATTTTTAAAATGAAGCACCTTATAAAAAACAAAAGTCAAAGCTAAAATTACAGCAAGATAATTTTATTAATGTTATTAACTTATTAAAAAAGTTACAGATACCTAATAACTATAACGAACCTGTGACATAGTCGATATTCCGACGCCTGCCACTTTATATGCTTTAATAGAGTCGATTTACCGACGGTTCGCGCTCTAAAGGTTAACATTCCGTAACTGCGTGCGTGTTCTAGTTACTATTTTTTTTCCTATCTATTCGTTGGTAGCCTAAGGGGTTATTCCAGCTACGCTATATTTTTACTGGTGGTAGGACCTCTTGTGAGTCCGCACGGGTAGGTAGCACCACCCGCTATCTCTGCCGTGAAGCAGGAATGCATTTCGGTTTGAAGGGTGGGGGGTAGCCGTTGTAACTATAATGAGACCTTAGAACTTATATCTCCAGATGGGTGGCGGCATTTACGTTGTAGATGTCTATGGGCTCCAGTAGCCACTATAACAACAGGCTGTGGGCACGTTCACGCCTCTAAGCAATAAAAAAAGGATTGTATGGTTTTCTGAAACCACGGTAAAAGTGAAACTTTTTTTCACATTACAGACATTTAACTCTGACAAACACAAACAAAATAGCGTGGAGCACTGGCACAAATGAGTAATAGTCTATACACTAACGCTAGCTATACGCCGCCTATAGCTCGCAGCCTATTGGCCTTGGCTGCTCTGAGGAGCGCCTTTCACCTTACCCCTACTCCGCGGCCGGCCGTCACGCGACATGCACCACACAGACGAAAAAGTTTGAGACGATGTAATAATTAAAGTTTCACTTTAAAAAGTTTCATTTTAATAATAAAATACGCCCGGGCGGGTCGTGTTCTAGTGCAGATGGTGTTGGAAAACAATATCTAACCGAGGGTATGTAGTCCAGCAGGGCGGCGACAAGCGCGAGGCGGCTGTCGTAGGCGGCCAGGTGGAGCGGCGTGCGGCCGTGCATGTCGCGCACGCGGTGGTCGGCGCCGCTCTCCAGTAGATGGCGCGCGTTCTGTCCCGTCCTCGCCAAGTGCAGGGGGGCTTGTTTTTCTGGAAAAATTTACGATTTAATTTTTCGTAAAGCAGATTGGAAGGAATATGGACTAGCAGATTGGAAGGAATATGGACTAGAAGTATACTTTTGTCGGGTTTTTAGAGATTTAAATCTGTTGAACTGAAAATTACTTTTATTTAGTGTTTAAGAATATTAAATATATTAGTATAATTTAGTCATCAAAGTTTTGTAACCTTCGATCAACAATAGTATAGATTTCGGGTCAGTGCATAAAATCCGTCTCGTCAAATAACAGCGCACTTGAAATGTGAGCTCTTATTTTGTTTAGTTCACTTCAAACACAGCCAATGTCAACCCGTCTCACAATACCGCAGTGTGTATTCAAAAGTTGCAAAAATAAGGCCCGAAAAAGCAATTTAACGGCCGGAGTATCTTACTTTCGGTAAGTACATGAAGTATAAACTATATTGTAAGCTTTAAACTTATAAATAATATTAAATTTTGAACAAAATTACCGATTTTTAACCACCGCTACAAATGTTGGCCAAGGCTCGGCCAACACATGGACAAACTTTTGCTTAACAGAACAGTAAATGCATGGAGTAGATTTGTGTTGTAATAATTTTTTAAAATTTGTTAGCAGCACTTCAAAATTAGTTGGTTAAAATTGGTTAATGCTGCTTTTGTGTCTGTTTGTTGGACTCTCATTAGATACTTAGCTTTCCATTTTTATTTTAGCTTTCCTAGCAATCACGTGTGCAGAATGGATCTCGATTGTCGCCAGAGAAACAAGAGATGACTTTTATAAGCCAGCTAAGAACTCCGCTTATTGACACTGGACATCTTTGCCTTCCGTGCTCACGGCTACTGAAATGTGGCCGAAACATTGTAATAAAAATACCACGCTTGAAACCGTTTAAACGTTGTTTTATTATGTGCACTGGTCGCGAAAACTTAAAAATATATATTACACAAAAACGTAACGCTAATAAAATAATAAGTAATGTATAGATACTAACAAACATACATTTCCAAAACATAAAAAGTAAACAACTAAACTTTTACTTTAATTCATTAATAAATTATTTTAGTGTTAAGCGCGACTCCCTTACCTCCTGTAGTAAATAGAAATCGGCATTTCAAGAAGCAAAAATAAATAAAGCAAAACGATGTTAGTTCTCAGAGCAATTAAGGGAAAAGTTACTTTATTTGTTGCACCTTAAGATTGATTTAACATTAAAAGTTGTTTAAAATATGTCTTTTTATTGGTAAGTGACAGGAGTAATTTATTGCTTTGCTCGTTTTATGTGACGAATGATCGTAAGTATTAGATAATGTTTTGGAGATTTGTGACTTTATTACTAGGTGCCATAGTTGTTATTAGTTTGAACGTAAAAGTGTTTCAAAACTTTTTTCTCCGTTTGTTAGTAAACGAATGTAGCTATATAAGTATATATTCACGCGGACAGTTTTTGCTTTAATTTTGTACGTATCCCTTTATCTAGTTACTATAGTTGATCGAAGTTTGTAACTCATTAGATATGATAAAAAGTTAATTACCTAAAGTTAGGTAACTAACTAACAACTAAATAGCGCCAGCCCTATCGAAAAACTATTGTCCCCCTATTGCCCCCAAACAAGATGACGTTTACTAAGACGTGACGTAATTCGCTCTGATTGGTGTTTAACCTATCATGGCTGATTGTTGTATTTTGTAGATTTATTTTGACAAATAAATCATAAATCTCGTCATTAATAGGAGAATAAATAAATTTTTCAAAATCCGTGAATCCTGTTTCATAAGATCAGTTAAATATTTTGGCGATAATTGACTACTGTCATCATGCCTATTATCTTATATAGTAGCGTTTAAACGTTCATTATTAACGTCCGATAGGATAGCGGCCTGCTGTAACCACGCGATCCAGGTACGATATCCCTTTGTACAAGATGTTTGTTTTGTTTGTGTGTTTCTGGAGCACATAACATACGAATGAATCCCATATTAAATTATATATATTTAATATTGAGATCCAATATAAAAAAAACGATCTGTATTTAACGACACACTGTGACGACGCATGTTAAGACACGAACTAAATACTTTTTTTTTATTAAATCTATATTACCGTAATTATAAGTGTTCAAGTCGAACGGTATGTTATGCTTCTTGACTGCGGCTAGTAGCGGCTCCAAGCACTTGTGGCTTTTGGCCGCGTAGTGGAACGCGGTGTCGCCGGCTACATCTTGCAAACTCACGCTGCTTCCTGTAATTTCGAAGTAAATTAAGTATTCTGTTGGAAAAATTAGCACATGACTGCGGTAATAGAGCAAGCATAGTAGCATCGCTCGATATAACAATACAGCTCCATACGGACCTCTTGTTTCTTAGGCTACGACGACGGCTGGTTTTCAAAAAACGGCCGTCTGGTGTAGTGGTAAGTGACATGGTCACTACACAAGGGGGTCGCGGGTTCGAATCCCGCCAAGGGAAGATATTTGTATGAAAAATATAAATGTCTTTCCAGGGTTATGGGTGTATATTAAATATATGTATGTGTATAATAAAAATATTATATTTATTTCCGTTATCTGGTCCTTGTAACACAAGTTCTTTACGAACTTAGCACGGGACCAGTTAACGTGGCGTGATTGTTAGTAAATATATTTATATTTATAAAAAAAAAAAAAAAAAATGAGCTTTTTTACTGGTGATAGGACGTACGGGTAGCAGTAGCCTATTTCTGCCGTGAAGCCGTAATGCGTTACGGTTCGAAGGGTAGGGCAGCCGTTGTACTGTTCAAACTGAGATCTCAGAACTCATGTCTCAAGGTAGGTGGCGGCATGTACGTAGTATGGGTATATCTATGGGCTCTGATAAATACTTAACACCAGGTGGGTCGTGAAATCATCCACTTACATAAGCAATAAATAAAAAAGAACAAAAATAATACTTATCCTGTGGTGATGTCTCCATAAATATACCACAAAGTTTAAATTTATGTTATCCTGATCGAAATATTAGGAAGAAGTATGTAAGTCAAATTAATGTACTGACATCGATCCTTAATGCGAGTGCAAATTTTCAAGTTAATCAACCGTCTTGAAAGTGACGAAAATTACTGTGAAGTATTTTGCGTTACATAGATAGAAGAAGCTAACAAAAGCGCATTTACACACCTTTTGATACTAGTAACGTCACGTAATGGGACAAGTCATTAGCTATGGCGGTATGCAGTAACGTTTGTAGTTTCAAATTCCTGTAGTCCAAGAGGTGGGTCATTTTAACGCTGTCAATTATCGTCACCATGTTCGCTATGCTGGATTGATTGCTGCACAGTATCATGTGGAGGTACCTAAAATGGAACGCAACATTCGTTTAATGTAATGAGAATGTTTAAAAAAAAAACAAATCACATATCTCTCTCTCTCTCTCTTTCTTTCTCTCTCTCCCCCTTTCTTTTTTTCTCTCTCTCTCGCCCCTCTATTTCTCTCTTTCTCTCTCTTTCTCTCATTCCCTCTCTCTCTCACACACACATAACAGAATTAAGGTGGAGTATGACTTTGAGTTTCTTTCAACGGTCGCACACAATCCAGAATATTACAGAACCAGAACCAATTAATGAAAGCTGATTCCTAACCGAATGCGTGCGTGTTGTTTTGACTTGGAACCTTCACAAAAGACGTTGTAACTCTTTAACAAGCAACAACAAAAAATAATCTAGTGGTAAATTCTAGATACAATAAACTATGTGCAGAGAAAATGCGTTTTTACCAAGGGCTTTTCCTGTACCATATTATTGTAGGAAAATCGACTCACATACACAAACTAAAAATCGTAAGCGAACCAAAGTGACACGGCATGTCTTTAAATTAACTTATTTCTGAAGCATTACAATTTTGCTTTGCTTTTGTTGTAGATATCTTGAAAGCCTGCACGGGTAGGTACCGCCGCCCTGCCTATTTCTGCCCTGCCTGTTTCAATAACGGAACATCCGCTGCACCATAAAAACTGAGACTTAGAAATCATGTCTCCAGGCGAGTGGTAGCAAGTACGTTGTTGATGTCTATGGGCTCTGGACACCACTTAGCACCAGATCGGCCATGAACCGTCTTAGCAACAAATAAAAAAGCTTTCACATCAACAATTTCCAAGGAATTCGAATGAACTACTCACGTGTCGCCGTTCGAAAGTCTTATGTCGAAAAGTCTCTTTAGTTTGTCTTTCAGTTCTTGTTTCTTATGAACCTTCTTGTTGCGTATTATCTGCGTCAGTTCTCTTAGTAGCTGTGAAACAATAATCTGATATTAATATAAGAGAGGCACTGAGATAAGGTTTGTACACAAAACTGCGAATCGGCGCTATGCGAATTCGCAACACACATAACTGCAATGCTTGCTTACATGGGTGGACGAGCTCACAGCCCACCTGGTGTTAAGTGGTTACTGGAGCCCATAGACATCTACAACGTAAATGCGCCACCCACCTTGTGATATAGGTTCTAAGGTCTCAAATGCAGTTACAACGGCTGCCCCGCCCTCCAAACTGAAACGCATTACTGCTTCACGGCAGAAAAGGGCAAGGTGGTGGTACCTACCCGCGCCGACTCACAAAAAGTCCTACCACCAGTAATTACCAGTAGTACCCCTGTCTGCGGGATTTGAGCCCCAGTATAGTTTACTACGAGTTTTTTTTATTTCCCTTGTATACAGACGAATTATAATTTTGCGGGTTTGATTTGCTACTTTTTGGCTGCTACTTTTAATACAATTATAATAGTATAACGTAAACTTATTTTCATTTTAAAATCTCATTTAAGAAATTAATTTATTTACTGGTATAATTCTAACCTGTTTCACTTCGAGGCCGTCTTGGGCGTTGTAATAAGCGCTATATTCGTTTGCATCTTTCGCATCAGACGGTACATTCAGCTCGGTCCTGTCTGAGCTCTCTTGGGGTTCAACAGTCTTCGGTGCTGGTTTACTAGGCTGCGATGTATAAAATGAATATTTCAATAATTAATAAATAAAAACATATCTAAGTAAACTATTTCGTATAAAGCTAAAGTAATATAATTCTCTTTTTTAATAGGTGCAAGAAAGAAATCAATATCAATAAATAAATAAATTTTCGACGACAAATTACATATACCACCCAAAGGGCTCGTTGTACTGTGAGTGAGTGATGCAGACTGACATACATATTTATATACGTTTAAATATATCTTCATCTTTTTCTCCACCTTGTCCCAATAGGTGAGGCCGGCACAGCAAATTTTTCTCTACCATTCTCTTCTATCAACCGTCAGCTGAACACTCACGCCTCTCATATCGTCATTCTCACACTGCATCCATGTCTTCTTTGGTCGATCTCTTCCCCCTCTACCTTGCACTATCATTTCCATACATCTCCTAGTCACATGCATCTCCTCTATACGCATCACATACCACGCTAACGCTACGTTTAAGTATACAATGAAGTACATGATAGGAGAGGAGAACAGAAGTAAGGAGAATCATCTCTTTTGGCAGAAAGGTTGAAAAAGTGTCCAGCTGTATACTATAAATAACAGTTCAAAAACCTCTCACAATCGCGCCGGTATAGACAAAGGGTATGGCATGAATGTAGCAATTGTAGTAGTGAACTAAAGTATCCTGAGTTAAAAATAATAATTTGTAAAGTTATTAATTATTGAAAATTTCAACTACTTACGTTGTGCAAAATAATGCCATAAATATAACCCTTAAAGAATGATTTTATTTCGTAAACTGCGAATGGTGCGATTATCGATTTATTAACATCATGATAAAGTATCTAACAAAGCTACACTAACAAGATTTGGCGCTTCTTTAAAAATTCACTTTGATGCCGATGTGGCGCCACCCTAATTCAATACATTTCGACGGACGCTTTTCATATACACAGTTGATTTTCCGTACCTCTACCCTCCATAATGATAGGTGTCAATTAAATTATACTACATGCAAAATGAACCGTATTGCCACCACACTAAATCATAAACATTTGACGAGCATGTCATGTAAAAGTTACTTTTATAAATATCATTGAACACTATTACGAACCATAGAGAAGATTCATTTAAATAACATCAAAGACAATCGTTGAATTTTTATTTTTATTTTCACATACCTGCTGCCTACTGCGTGCAGAATCGGTTTGCATCATCTGTAACGTACGTATGAATTTCCATCCATTTGGCTAAAAAGGAAATCACAATAATAATATAAATAAATTTTCGGAGGTTATTGGAAGCTGTTGACGTCACAAAAAAAAATGCATCAGCTGCCCCATGCAACGCTACGGCATGGCAGAAATAGGCAAATGTGATAGAGGATCGGCACCCCGATCCTAAAGCATTCTGGTTTTAAAGATAACTATAGCTATAGTTATTCTAGAGTACACGATAGGCAGCAACTTGGCTGTGTCGCTTTCATCGGCGACTATTCACAATCAGCCCGTATGGACAGTCCGCGCGCGAGCTCCTAGGAAGGCTTAAGATGTGTTAGTATCGATAGCGCGATATCGACTAATTACAACTCTAGCTCATTACATCAACATTCCTTAACATTTCTCGGAGCGAGCTCGCGCGCGGACTGTGATGTAGTGTCAAATCTTTTCCGTAACTGCTCAGTTCCGGGTAGACTTTGAATCTATCTGCCCATTTAAATCTATTATAGTTTATCACAATCTAACGGTTTGGAACTTACAAAGTTCCCACAACACGCTTTAGTGAAAGTATTCTACGAACAATGAACTTAATTCACTTACATCATCGTCGATGTCATCGAACGATTCGTACGAACTTAGGGCATATTCTGAAAGAAAAAGAAAACATCAACAATTTAAAAAAAAGTTATTACAAAATATTTACTAAAATTATTTACGCTACACTTCGAGACAGATAAAAAAAAGTAATTTTAGCAATGAGAGAACATCGTTCGTTCATTGCGGTAAATTTTTTTAAGGGATTTTATGACCTGGTAACTAAGACCTTTAAGTCATATCTTATTTTAGTTTAAATTCTTATTTTTATGAAAAATTATAATATGAAATGAAATGAAATGAAGATGATTAATTTGAGACATTAATCAACTGGGATGAAATTAAATGAAATGAGATGAGTTAATACGGGATGAAATCTAACCTCAGTAAAATGGTGGTCATTTACTGAGATTTTTTTCAGTGGACGTTTTGGAGGATCTCGAGAAGTTACGTCCAGCGGCTTTGTTTCATTTTCCCATATTTGTGCACTATCACATATACTAAACAGCTAATAAACCACCGTTATTACACACTTAAACCTGAAGAAACACTAAATAGACAAAATAAAACAAATCACGCGACTTCACTCCTCGCATTCCCGTTAAAAAGTCCCGGTCAATTTTCACGCCTAACCGAGCAAGCAAATTAAAATGCGAACACTAAGGCCGGTGACCGACAAGTTAACGAGTGAACGATTGAACGAATGACTAGCGAGCGCCCACCCGTGAAGTCGTTCCTTTCCTCCGGCGGCAGGGCGTTCGTTATTATCTTTTCGAACTCCGTCGAATTCAGTTGCAGATTCGGGAACTGCTCGACGCTCATCGTCTCCACGGGCGCACTCGGGCTCCACATCGCGTTCCCGGCGACCGAGTGTAGGTCCACGGCGCTCTCGGAGCCCATGAGCGCGTCGGCGAGGTCGCAAAGCCCCAGGGAGGAGGCGGCGGCGGCGGCGGCCGGCAGCTGCCACGAAAAAGATTAATCAAACACTAGTGACCCTACAACAGTCGAAATTCGACTATAATGAATTGAAATTATAAGTTTGAACATTGTTATGGTTCTATAGTCAAAGGCTAGATGTTATATAATCACAGATTTTGCCAAGACTAAACTATAGACAAATAATATTAAAGACAAACAATATTAATCTATTCTCAATTCGACCAGACTATAAACAATAAGAAAATACATTTATGTCAAATACGTGGTAGTGTGCGTAATGTTCTTTTATTGATTTAATATATTTTTTATGCACATTTAAAAAATAAATTAACATTCTGCACTCCTTCTCTATATTCTCTATAAGTATGGGAAATTTCATACTCCTCCGTCCGTACAATCTGCGTAAAAAGGGGTACAAAGTTTTTGATTCACCTATTAATATATAGATAACCTCATGGTGCAGTACCAAAACAATTCGGAAGCGATATTTTAAAACCATACCAGTTGTATTTTTTTTATTGCGTTGATGGATGGACGAGTTCACAGCCCACCTGGTGTTGTGGTTACCGGAGCCCATAGATATCTACTACGCAAATGCCGCCACCCACCTTGAGATATGAGTTCTAAAGTCTCAGTATAGTTACAACGGCTGCCACACCCTTCAAACCGAAACGCATTACTGCATCACGGCAGAAATAGCCAGGGTGGTGGTACCTACCCGTGCGGACTCACAGAAGGTCCTACTACCAGTAAAACATCGTGTGTACACTATGGAGAATATTTAATGAAATTACTTATAATACATAATTCAATGGATCAAGTACCTCAGTTTTCGGCATTTCAATGTTGTTTTCATCGTTGAACTGAAAAAATAAAATTATTTATTTCGTTGAGTTTGCATTTGTCCGAAGCCGGTGGAACGATGCGGAATTATAACAATTTCAATCGGTAATTTTTTTTTATTGACCTAGCGGACAGACGAGCATACGACCCACCTGATTGTAAGTGATTACTGTCGCTCATAGACGTCAGCAATGCCAGGCGACAGAGCCACGCCGCTACCTACCGTTTAATACGCTCTACAAGCTTCGTTTGAAGAAGGAATATCCTTATTAGTCCCGTATCCGTATTAAAGAATACTATTATTAAATTGATTTAGAAGCAAAACGTTGGAACAACTTGAAATATTACTTACATTGTTATTGAGAGTCACAAGGGCGGGCAGATCGCTGATGCTCTTCAACGACCCAGACGAAGCTGCAATGTAATACGAACAAAACAATAAAGATACATGCGCAAATGATATTATATTTTGCAACAGCTCTATGACAATAATATAACAGCCGTAAATGATAGCCGAGAAACCCTTTAATTATAAACATGTTATTACTAGCATGTTATACAACTGTTTAGAGACATTGTTAAGCAGAGAATTTCTTGTATTCTTTATTGTATATTGACAAATAAAAAATACCTAAATGACTAAGTCATTTCTTTTTATCTTTTCTTTAAAAAAAAAAAAACATTTAGAAATAAAATCTGAACATCTTTACTCCATAAATTGATCCCCCACTCGCTCTCCACAAATATTTCGCATTACAATTATGCGGGTTTCGTTTTTATTACTTACTGGTGGTAGGACCTCTTGTGAGTCGGCACGGGTAGGTACCACCACCCTTTTTTTTTTTTTTTTTTTAACGCTGGGGAATCCATTTACGGATACCCGGTCGAGAGGGGTAATAGACCGGGTTATGTCGGACTCCGGCGCCTCCAGAGAAGAAGAGGGAGAAGAGGAAGACCAAAGTCCTCCTCTTCTTCCAATTCCTACCGGGAGACTACGCCTTGAGAAAGGCGCGCGAGGCGGTATAAGTATATATATATATCTCAATTATATATATATATATATATATAATTGAGATATAAGGTACCACCACCCTGCCTATTTCTGCCGTGAAGCAATAATGCGTTTCGGCTTTAAGGATGGGGCAGCCGTTGTAACTATACTTGAGACCTTAGAGCTTATATCTCAAGGTGGGTGGCGCATTTACGTCGTAGGTGTCTATGGGCTCCAGTAACCACTTAACATTAGGTGGGCTGTGAGCTCGTCCACCCATCTAAGCAATAAAAAAATAAAAAAGGCCTTGGAGCAGTGGACGACTAGGGGCTGATGATGATTATGATAACATGAAGCATTGAGTCAAATATTAAATTAATGTCGTGTTAGGTCTAAAGTGTCTAAACAAACTCACCAGGGGAGGTGGAACACGAGGCATTCATCCTTCTCTTCTTGCTGTTCGAGTATATGGGCTCGGCTATGTACTTGAACTCCTTAGGTTCGCTCGTGCGTCCGTCCGAGGGCCGCGCCAGTTCTATGTACACGTTCACGTTCTTCGATATCTTCGTATCTTTGTAGGCCGGCGTTCTGTTAGCGAAACACGACGTGGATACGATTGAACGTTTTGGGGAAACTTTCTCGGATGCAAAAAAGGCGGCTTATTGTATATGTATGCAATAAATAATATTAGATACATACTAAAAGTGCAATGGTATTGATAGTTAATTAATGTGAACAATATTCTTATTTAGGGGAGAGATGTGGTGATAATGCTATTAGTAACGCATATAACTCGGCTCCATTGCTATACAGATAGATTAATAAAGGCAACGTCGTTAATAAATAACACCGCAAAATGGTGTAGATTGCCTACCGTAAGATTGGTGAGAATGGAACGTATGAAAGGAGTGTGGAATAGAGCGTTAAAATGTAAGTGACAGAAAACGATAAGAAAGGGAAAAGAAAATGACATACGAAACGACAGAGAAAAGGAAGATGGCGAAGACGGTTGAATGAGCAAATCGTAAAAAAGGGTGTCAGATAATTTTAATAATACAGAAGATTTGAGAAACAAACAATAAAAGTGCAAAAAAGGAATAGTCTTATTTTATGCGCTATGATTCTACATAAATGAAATCGTTTAAATCAGGCAAATACCTGAAGATTATGGCGTACTGGTGGTGAACATCGCCAGGCATGAAACTCCCGTTGGCCGTCCACACGCGGTGTCCATTCTCGTCCAGTTCGAAGAAACGTATCTGTATGTTCTCTGAGGAGAGAGAGAGAGAGAGAGAGAGATAGAGAACATATTTTATTGTACACCAAAACACAATTAACATTAGAAAACAGTTCACAAGCAGGTACGTTTGTACAATGGGCGGTCTTATCGCGTAAAGTAATTTCTTCATCATCATTTAATTACCCAAAATTCCGGATAGATAAAGACACAGCAGGTATGGTGCAGTGTACTATTAATAAAACATTATTAAAGAAAATAGACACATACAATAAATAGATATATACCGTTAAATATAATATGAAATCACTATATGATTTGATGAGGAGAACAGATGCGACACATGCGAGAACAACATGCGACGAAAATTTTATGTTTATTGTTGATGTTGTTGTTTATATTAAATGTTGTTTTCTTATTATATGACAGAAAACGCAATTAAGTATTTTATTGTTTATTAAATCTGTAATATTGCATATACTTATGTATGTTTCTTATAGACTCCGAAACGGCTGGACCGATTTCAATGAAACTTTTTTGGTTGACTGAATGAGAATCTAGGACAGTGGTTCCGACGCATCGACATCAACCCCACTAAGGGCACAGCCGGGTTCTTCAAAAGTGGTCGCCCTTCCAACACCGCTTCGAATATCTCCTCCCGTATTAGGCGCGGTAACCCAATTCTCGCCACAACAAACTTTGGCCAGTCTACACCTTGGGCCGCGAAGGCCAAATACTTGGGGGTCAACCTCGATAGGGGGATGACATACCGTCTTCGCGTAGTCAGTACGCTACCGAGCCGTGTTCCTACTCGGTCTTCTACAAAACTTGTCATTACCTATGCAAGTGTAGTGTTCGTTCACGCGGCCCAGACCCAAATAAACTCTCTACAGGCTATCGAAATTTTCTAACCGTTTTTTGCAGGATAGCCGTCGGAGCACTGAGGTATGTGAAGAATGCAGATCTTCACGATGACCTCAGATAATAGTCAATCTGTAAGTATTTGAAAACAGCGTCCAAACGCTTCTTCGAAGAAGCGGCGCGTCACGATAATCCTCTTATCGCGGCCGTTTCTGATTACATACCTCACCCAAACGACGCGGCAACACAAAACCGCCGTCGCCTTAAGTAAATCCTATCGGATGATCTTGATCTACTCTGTCCCTTTGATGCCCATATAGGTCACTGCTGCCTTACGCGGCGCACTGAAGTAACACGTCGATTTCTGTTGCTAACCACCTGGATTGCCTAAGTTTGCCTTATTTAATTTTTATTGTATGTTTTAGTCTTTAAGGTCTCTTAGATATAGATTCCTTCTCAGTATTTTGATTTGACTATCCCAGAGTCTACTAGATATTCCGGCGCTTTAGTAACAGAATTCGCCATAATTACTTCAGCGCGTCACGTAGGGCACTGGTAATCTACATGGCACTCAAAGGGCTAAGCACTCCAAGCACTGGTCACCGTTCTCGTTGGACTCGTCGAAAAGTTCTACGTGCAGCAAAGCCCATAGACACAACGCATAAGCCGGTCACTAAGTTTCTAGTCGGATATTAGCGGGTCGCGATTCTGATCCGGTGGTAGATTCAGCGAAGCATTTCTTTTGGCAGTGCTACAGTTAGGAAATCCTCCCAGGTTGAGCTCCGTGAGCTTACCTATCAATCCGCGCGAAGTTGGAATAGCCTCTTAGGTTCGATTTGGTAGGAAAAAAGATGTACCAAGTGCCATATAGTGTTTCACATTCGGTTCGCCTAGTGTTAAATAGTTAATGGTGCATCACTAGAGTTAAGTTGAAATCAACTTTACCATATTCATACGTAAGAGCAACCTGAATATATATCGACGCTTGAAAGGCAAACGTGACTAAGCGACAATAACTTCATTGTACATAAATGATAGGCAATAAGCAAATTCGATGCGCAAAAAAAATAATATTTCTAGGTCTATTAAAATCATTTCAATCCTGCAGCTAGATTCGTTAAAATAGATAGGTAGGAAAAAAAAAGTCAAATTGAGAATAGATTAATATTGTTTGTCTTTAATTTTATTTGTCTATAGTGTAGTCTTGGCGGAATCTGTGATTATAGAAGTATAATAATGTTCAAGCTTATAATTTCAATTAATTATAGTCGAATCTCGACTACTGGGGGACCACTAATATTCGGAAATATACCATATTTATTTGACTTACTTTTGTTAACTTTCTCGACGAAAATGTACACGTCTTCTCCTCCAACTGGACGCCCGGAACAACGACTGATGCGACATATCTTCAGATCGTTCGAAGCAGCACTTTCTAAAACCATCAAATCATTCTGGATGACTGAATGCTACCAGTTTGCTAGCCAGAGTACTCTAGGTCATCTTTTATCTAATCTAGTGTACTTACTGGCTGCTTTATAAGAGGCATTACCTGTTTCGTGTGGTCAAAGGTTTTGTCTCTAACAAATAGATTTTCCGCCACCAAATACTCGAGCTGTATCGTAATTATAAAACTGTCCAAATAACTGAGCTTGGTTATTTATGCGTATTATTGAGAGTGAAAACTGCCCTTTCCACGATTTAATGACAATTGTCATTGATAATAGTCGCGATATTTATACGTTGATAATGACAATTGTTGTTTTTTCTTAGATAGGTGAACGAGCTCACGGCCCTGCACGTGTTAAATAGTTACCGGAGTCCAAACACATAAACAATGTAAATGTCATCAACCTCCTTGAGAGAATTTTAAGTCTCAGTTTTACAGTACAACGCCCTTTAAACCGAATCGCATTAGTTCATCACGGCAGAAATAGGCAGGTGTGCTTAATTATCAATTATTATTATTATTATTATTACAATTATTAAATTAACCCTCTCGACCGGGTATCCGGAAAGGGTCAGCGTTAAAAAAAAAGGTGTGATTCTCAAATCATTTCTTAGTTATTAAATATCAATAGTAGTTCATGCAAAAGATAACATCACTTATCACGGGACAGATTGCTCTTTTTGTTTCGAAACTATCCGAAAATATCTAGCGCCAACGAAAAAAAAAAAAAAAAATACTTACTTAAGTTGTGTATCGGTTCAGAGAAAACAGGCTCGCATATCTCACGATCGGTGCTGATGTCGTGAGCGCTGAACTTCAAACGCACAATGTTGAGATCTATGCTTTTAGCCATATTCTCGCATTGGATTTTGAGCTGTGCAAAGGAAAAACAAACTTACCGCATTTCGTACAAAGCATTTTTTTTAACGGACAACTTTTTAGACTACCTTTTCCGTTAACGAATGCACAGTGGAGACTAAAACAGCAGAATTTGTACATGCTTTATATAGTGTATAACACCAAGATAATAATGAAGTATTGTTTCCGCTTAATAATGAAATCATCCGATTTTGAATTATACCTAGTCAGGTCATAAACTCTGTCACATGTTTAATGTAAAATAATTGAAACAAGTTTATTCATTATGTAACCATTCATATACCAAAATGAATTTAACAAAACATAGATTCTTATGACACTAAAGTTTATTCAAAATGACCTCCGTGATTTTGAATACAGGCCTTCAATCTGCGCGGCCAGTCGTCTATCGCAGCACGAACGAGGTCCATGTCAATATCGGCAGCTGCCTTAATCAAGGATATCTTCAGTGACTCCAAATTGGGATGAGGCTTTGAGCACGCCTTTTCCTCCAAGTGTTGCCATATCTTGTAATCTAACGGATTCAAATATGGACTGGAGGAGGGCCAGTCTTCGTGCCGGATGAAGTCGATTTCACGCGCCGCCAGCCAGTCTTGTGTGCTCTTCGCTCTATGAGCTGGCGCCGAATCTTGTTGGAATACCCAGTGCCTGTTATTGAACATGGTATGAGAAACAGGTTCCACAAGGTTCGTCAGGACTGTATTTTGATACACAACTGCATTCGTTTTTACACCTTTCTCACAAAAATGTACCTCTGTTAAGCCCCAATAAGAAACTCCCAACCATACCATGAGCGAGGATGGAAAATGACCTCGTTGGACACGCGGAATACGGTTGCTCGCTTCTTCACTACTGTGTGCGTACACCTTATCATTTTGTTTGTTGTAGCTCTCTTCTACGGTAAAAATTTTTTCATCCGAAAAAAGAATTTCCCGATATTTTTTTCCCGCGTACCGCTTCAACAAAGCGCGGCATCTCTTCAGTCTCAGGTCCATTAGACGAGCATTCAAACGATGTCCTGTTTTTCTTCGATATGCCCGAAGCCCTAAGTCTTCATTTAACACCCTTTTCACCGTAGTTCTGCTTAACCCCATCTGAAGGGCCAACAGTTTCTGCTTACGTTTGGGATTTCTTTGAATTCGCGCCTTCACAGCTTCTATCACTGCTGGAGTCGTAACAGACCGAGGGCGATCACTTCTTGACCTGTCATCTACACTAGAGTCTTCATTGTATCGTTTGATGGTATGATAAACGAATCTTTTGGTTACATTCAAATTTTTCAGTATGTTAAAAATTTGAATTGGCGCGTAACCGCAACGATGCAACGCAATAACTGCAACACGGTCTTCTTTAAGCGTCCACTCCATATTTAAAAATGAGTAAAATTCTATAAAGTATACATTTTTATTTTCATGAACAATTCGAAATTCGAATTCTATAAACTTTTTGTGGCCACCATTCTAAAAGAAAAGTTTTTACTGTGTGACAATACTTATGACCTGACTAGGTATGTTCACAATTTCAAGTCACATTTTTGTGCGGAAGACAGTTTAATTACGAAACCGATCACGGTGTCTGTCTGTCACGGTCTGCCTTCGGATTTACCAATTGTACAATAAAATTATTCTCAGGAGATATTTTATTATTATCTTAAAAAAAAATACACTCAATATACTTTAATTATTAAATCCTATTATCCTAAATTATTATTTGCGTAAAACAGAATCGCCTTTTCTGGCGAATTCGGATTACATTTTTATGTCAAAGTCACTAGTATAATTAAAATCTTAATATAAATACATACACTATTATATATGTATATGCGTGTGGTATATTTATTACATTTTATTAATTCATATCAAGCCACACGTGTAACGTGTTGGTCTGTAATGACAAACCTCATCGGCACCTTCCGTTTGTCGTTTTACCAATGAATGTATGATTTTTTTTGTCATCACCAAAGCGCGCTTTATAAACAAATAGACAGGCGATACTATTCACTATAAATAAATTTGAAGCAAAGAAATGAACAGTAAACGATTTCATGTATACCTCTATTCGTAGTTATTTACATACATTTACCTAATAGTACATTTATTTTCATATTTTTATTTAATCAGTGGCTTCAACACAAAAATGTAATCCAAATCTTACATAAATATTCTTTTTATTTCCGTGTAGACAGACGAGCATACGACCCACCCGATGGTGAGTGGTTACCTTCGCTCATGGTCGTCAGCAATGCCAAAGGCAGATCCAAGCCGCTGCCTACCGATTAATACTCTTCACAAGCCTCGTTTGAAGAAGGACATATCATAGTGCTCGGGAAACACCGTGGAGGGGAGTTCATTCCAAAACCGGATGGTACGTGGCAGAAAATATCTCTGGAAACGCACTAGATGAACGCAGTCGCTCCAGGTATTATGGATGAACTCTACTCCGATGGCGGGTGGTGCGATGGTAAAAACGATGGTATAATCTCAAACAATTTCACAGAACACTCCCCATGGAACACACGGTACAAAATACAGAGGGAACCGAAGTCCCTCCGTAGATCCAGAAGTTCCAAACGATTATTTAATGAATATTAAATATATCAGGTGGTTGCCGCTACCCATAAATATTACCACGAGCCACCTCGAGACTTGAGATCTAAGTCATCTCAATTGTAATTACGCAAATAATAATATTACAACCGAATGATCGATTTTTTTTATTATTATCTTATTGTGTTTCTTACGTACGTGTTACATGTGCATGTGTTTTGGAACGACGTTGTTATCGTGAACTTCTTATCCTACCTTATTGATAAACATCAAAAGCTACTACGGACTGATTCTGACGATGCACTCACAAATGAATCATTCGAATATATAGATGTAGCTCGTATTCAAAATATGTATAGGGCTTAGTCAACGTAGTCTAAGGAAGCACTAAGGAAAACGATGAAGGAGGAGGGCTTATGAATTATTTTATGCGTTCTTTTTGACGGCCATTGTCGGAAATTGCCGATTACGTAACCGTTGAAACAAGGCTGTGTGTACGTTGGTGGTAGGGAGTCCGCACGTTTAAAGAACACGATATTGCCTATTTCTGCCGCGTCTCAGAGCCGTCATACAATACAACGGAAGCTTCAACTCAAAGTTGGTGATGACGTTCACGTTCTGACATCTATGAGCACCTCTAATGAGTACAAGTTACAAGAATCAGTATAAGGCAAGGCTCGATACCTTTTTTCACGTCGAAAAAAATCCGGATAACAACTAAAAATTTTGCATATTTAATAATATAAATTACGAACAATATTTGATCCATCTTCAGACACAGACTACCGTACAAAATCCACTATGTTTATAGTGATTTAGAATAGGGTAAGTCCAGAAAATAGAAAATGTTATGTTTCTAAAAAATCATATATAGTAGTAGTATTACTATAATGTTTATGCTATTTACCTCTTTGTTGCTGATGTTCTTACACTTCTCTGCATACTTCTGGAACAGTAAGCCTGGTACGTTTTTTTTTGCTGTGTGTATGATACCCATTCCACCGAACCTAGTACAGAAGAAGAATCGTAATAAAAGCGATTATACTTTTTCTTTTAAAATAGTATTCGTGAGCTACAGCTATATCAAAATCATTTTAAAAATATCTAGTTTTTTTTAAACCAAGCTACTAAGTAACATTTTATTTTACTTTCTTTTAATCCGAATTAATTTTTAAACGGCTACAAAAAAAATACTATAGGTACTGTATTTTTTTTATGTGAGTTACCTCAGATTTTTTTCGTGAGTGAACCGATTTTGATGATTTTTTATTTATTTGAAAGTTGGTGCTTCTCATTTGACCCCATTTAAATTTTTCAAAATCTGACCAGCAGTTAATGAGTCATTTTTAATTTGGTATCGACTACATCAATCACATGGGTATTTTTGTATTGACGACGATTTCCTTTTTTTTTTATTTTTTTTTATTTTTATTTCTTTGATTAGTAGATTGATACTTGAGTTTTACAAGGCCGTATCATTAGTGCAGCCTCAATCAAATTCTAATTACTAAAATAGTTTTTATGAACGAGATCACTCCTCACGCCTCGTTAAATTACCAGGCCCATACACATCACAAAGTGAATGTCGACGCCCACCTTGAGGACATGAGATCGTAGTTTCAATGGTATCACATAACCACTGTCGCATCTAAGGTACCACCTACCAAAGATCCCTAACACCAGCGCACGTACTATTTTCAGAGAAGTTATGGGTATTTTCTAGAAATTTTACAATAATCTTTTTTCATTGCCCTTGTAGGCAGACGAGCATACGGCCTACTTGATGGTGAGTGGTTACCGTCGCTTATGGACGTCAGCAATGCCAGGGGCAGAGCCAAACCACTGCTTACTGTTAAGCACTCTCCACCAGCCTAGTTTGAAGAAGGACACCGTGGAGGGGAGTTCATTCCAAAACCAGATGGTACGTGGCAAAAAAGATCTCTGGAAACGCACTGTGAATGAGCGCAGTGGCTCCAGGTAGTATGGATGAACTTTACTCAGGTGTCGGGCGGTGCGATGGTAAAAACGAGATGATGGGTTCATCTCAAACAATTCCTCAGAGCACTCTACAGATCTTATATCTACAGAACATTTCCAGATATATATTATTTCATGTACTACCAGGCTTTTGATAGAACTCAACTCCTCAGTGCTTCTGCAAGGATACGATACGTCACTGTGAAAGGTTTCTATGAACTGACAGTGGCTTGACCTCTCTTTTTTAACATGGTAAATATATCACATTCAATATTATCGTACGTTTTAATTATAATGTGTGCTTTTATAAATAAAATTATTTTCACAGAATATGACAATCGCCCATTGTATTTCTTTATCGGATACTATAATAAGTACCTACCGTTTTTTTAAGCACAGTTTTGTTTTGTATATTGTGAGATCTGGTTCGTAAGTCACTTTGTTGTTCAATACAAAATAGAGATGCATGTTTTAAAATATCAAAAGAGTAATTATGAAAAAATACAAATGATTAAGTCTCTTTTTTCAATACTCTAGCAGAAAGAATCGATTTTGAAAAGACAAGTTATAACACAAAATTTTAATTAGCTTTAATTGATTAAGGATATTCATTCATTAAAGAAATATGTAGAAATGCACTTTACGTAAATACTACATGTTTTGTTTAACAGAGAAGATAACAATAGCCATATCCTACAAAAAATTCCAAGACTGAAGATTGAAGTCGTCGTGGTCTAAGGGGTTAGACTTCCGGTGCATTCGTGTTGAGTGATGCACCGGTATTCGATTTTCAGGCGGGTACCAATTTTTCTAATGAAATACGTACTCAACAAATGTTCACGATTGACTTCCACGGTGAAGGAATAACATCGTAAAATGAAAATCAAACCGGAAAAATTATAATTTGCGTAATGACTGGTGGTAGGACCTCTTGTGAGTCCGCACGGGTAGGTACCACCACCCTGCCTATTTCTACCGTGAAGCAGTACTTAATGCGTTTCGGTTTGAAGGGTGGGGCAGCCGTTGTAACTATACTGACACCTTAGAACTTATATATCAAGGTGGGTGGCGCATTTATGTTGTAGATGTCTATGGGCTCTAGTAACCACTTAACATTAGGTGGGCTGTGAGCTCGTCCACCTATCAAAGCAATAAAATAAAATTATTTTTAAACTAAGTTTTCCTTTCAGTTTAGCACTTACCCGACTTTGTAAATGCCTTGTTTAGGAACAATGCAGCTGACTTCTCTGTCATCATTATCTTGTTCTTCTTCGAATAGCTTGTGCGGATGCTCCTCAGGTGTCTTATGTTGGGCCAACTGACATTTTATTACAGCCTGGCCAGTGTAGTTTACAAGCTGAATTACAAAGACCAATGTTACTTTCAATTTGAGGCAAGCCTTAATTCTTATTCGGAATATTAATAATAACTAAGAATAAATCACACACGGTCATCTGGCCCTAATTTAGGATTCCCTGTGTTGTGGGTATTAGAGACTGACATACATTCCTATATACATTTAAATATGTATATATATAGATAGTAAACACCCAGACAATGAGCAAACAAACCTGTTCATCTAACAATGCTTGCCTGATACTGGAATCTAACCCACAACCCGAGATGCAACTGTCAGAGTAACTACTGCACCACAGAGTCAGTCCAATTTTAATTGACTAAAACGATTAACAGAGCAATACAATTATTTTGAATAGTTTTGTAAAATTAATGTTCTTTATTTTAGGTGACAGGTAAATTATTTTAGGTAAATTTTAGATAGTTTTATTTTTAAGTGTCAAGAGTAAAATAATTTATATGAGTGTTCTACACTTATCTATTTTCAAATTAATCAACCATCTTCAAGTTGCTAAAAATGTAATTGAAATATTCCATTACATACATTTTATTGGTGAAGCCAATAAAAGTATGCCAAAACAAATATCTTCCATACATGCACGAAATGATGTCACTTGACTTTTCAAAGTGATACAGATGGTAATTTTAGAGAAACTAAATGTTTTATTAAATTAAGGTTTTTAAATGAAAACAGGAGCTGCAAGCCTTTTACAAATTGGTTATACTTAAATTAAACTTAAACTAAGTTAGTCAAAGCTTAATTACAACAAAGATTATACTATTGAAAATTGCCCTATTTTATGTAAATGCATTTTATTATAAACGAACCTCAACTGTAGGGTGAACTTTGTTCTTATTTGTTGAAGATGACTTTCCGAGCAAACATCCATGTGTTCCAGCCATTTCACTAGCATAGCGAAATCTAAAGTAGTCCTGCGGCTGTTCAATTATGCGAAGAAACGGTCTGTTTCCTAAACAATAATCGATTTCCACATGAGAATAGTTTTAAGACTAGAACATTTTTTTCTCCTTTTAATTGAGAATATTTACATTAAACACAACACCTTTAAATGTATTTGATGTAGTTGATTAGTGTAAGTACAAATGTAACATAAAAGATACCCTTGAAAAATAATAATAAACTGATGATATTTGCCAAAGTAAAAATCAGCTAATAAGTGGAGTCAATGATTTGATAATTACTCTTCTATTACTTTTGAAGCCCAAATTACTTCTTTTGATCTTAAATATTTGTATAGCTTCTTATATCATTTACTGCTAATAAAATAGTCCTTCACAGAAGTCTACAATCCCAGATAATTATTTAATTCAGAAATTAACGCTTTTCACTTAGCAATCAGTGATCCAAAAGCATGCAAATCCCAGTGGACAGACAGTGATAATAAAAAAACTATCTTGATTAATAAGGCAGGTGCCAATTGTTGTAATGAAATAAGTACTTAAAATATGTCCCCAATTGACATCCATGATAAAGGAATAATAACATTGTGTAATAAAAATCAAACCCATAAAAAATGTAATTTGCATAATTATTATACAAATGAGATAATAGACCTCAAGTCTCAAGGTGGGGAAAGGTGGCATTTGGGTTGTGATGACTATGGACTCGTCACCTCTTAACATCAAGTGGGCTATGAGCCTGTTCACCTGCCTGGACAATAAAAAAAACTTCAATTACACATTTATTTCTCTTGAAGCTCCTTGAAGCTAACTTCATAGATACTAAGTGTATGATAATGCTAATACTAACATTATTTATTATTGACTACTTACTCTTTGAGCCATTGTCTAGATATATTAAGTTGTTCAAATCTGGAGTCAACTGAGGTACTTGTTGAGAGGGTGAACAATAACTATAATAAGATTGTGGGGATCTGCTGGAAGAATCACTATCCTGATCACTGGCAGTTGTAGACATTTTTACTCTATTCCTTTTGCACTCACTTTCAATACCACAATACAATTTTTTTTGGCAAACTTAATTTATGCTTTACTATATATCTTCTTTATGAACACAATATGAATTTACAAATGAAAATAAACAATAAAAAAAACACTTTCTTCGGGTATGTTTATTTTACATTATTTGTATTCAAGTCATCTCAATGGGAAAAAAAAACATGTTGATTGTAACATTACTAATTCAAAATTCAATAATTAGATAATTATTATTAATGAAGAATATTGTTGCAACGTAGATTCAACTGTAGCCGTACAAGTGATTAAAAAGTTAGCCGAAGTTGAAAAACTTGTAAACCACTTACACATCGCACAGACTAAACACTAATTTGACATTATTATGACACGAACACGAACCAGTGCCTTAACTGTCAAACATATTAAAAAAAAGACTGGCAGTGTTGCTAGTGATCTCTAACAAAACTCACCAAAAAAGGAACGTATTTTCTTGTAGAAATTTAAATCTGCTATATTTTTTACTCTTGTATTTCGATTTTTAAAAAAAATATTCGTCCGAAACGTTCGTCCTACCTTCAGTAGTACCTTTTCCTTTTTAGACGGACAAACAAGATTACATCCCTATTCGTCTTTAAAGGTTACCTAAGCGCACAGAAAAATAAAGTGAATGTCGCCGCTTAGCCTAAGACATCACAACTGTACAATAATACGACCATCCTGCCCTTCAAACATGAGTCAAAAAAAATTGTATTTACATTGTACGAATGTTTGCGCGCATGTGAGTGGCCGGCATTAAAGTACAGTACTTGTTGTTCTGGAAAGGACTGGAAAAGAAGGAAAGGAAAATTCGAGATGTATTAATAATTTTGAAATTAAAAATTAATTATGTTCTGAATAAAGGATGATCCTACTGATAAACTAAACGAAAATACTCCATAAAGTTTCAAATTTTTCTTTTCTTAAACAAGACTAAAAAAAAATTATGTGCTAAGGACAAAATTTTGTAATAAAATTTAAAACAGGCGTCCTTTTTTTCCTGGCTGGGAGCCGAACCTCCTTCGAGGAACCCGCACATAAGGGGCTCGCGGAGTATGTGAGACTCAACGATCTGCATGGTGTTGTGAGCAGACCGCAGGCCCAAGGATTTTAGGGCCCAACCACTAAACGACTCCCCAGCACTCTTACACCCAACGATCAATCCCTTCCGAGGTCAGAACCCGAATGAGGGAGGGGGGCTACCGCGGTCAACACTACAACCAGACGGCGCGGCTCACCCCAATGACGGCCAGTCGACGGAGTCTTCGAGGCGAATCGAAGGCTCTGAAACGTCAGCCGTCTCGGTACGACAGCCCGTCAGGCCGCCCAGACGGTGCCGCTGGTGTCCTGGAATACCCCGCTGGACCAGAACCAGCCTGCCGTGTCGGGAAAAATGGTTAAAACCAGGCGTCCTACCTTGCAGGCCAGGACGACTTTAAAACTTGCTTTGTTAAACACCCTACTTAATTCTTACGATACATGCTTCATAGAAAAATTACTAATGTAAATAAGACGGCATACCTTAAGCGTTGTGCAAAACGAACTTTTTTGTAGTGCTATAGAGAGTACATCTTTTGAAGTGCGGTGTGGCTCACAATAGCACCACTTCACTTGTCCCATGGTTGTTGCAAAAGACGACTAAGCGACAATAGTCCGCAGGTTTACCTGAGTGTTGTACTAGCTTTTTACGATCACTAGCCGTATTTATTGATGGTAGAGAAAATTTTAAGCCCACACGGACGGACACCACAATTCTGCCTATTTCTGCTTCGAAGTAATTTTGCATTCCGGTTTGCAGGGTAAGACAGCCGTTAAATGATACATGTAACAAGATAGGTGACAGTACTCACGTGAGATATCTATGGGCTACGTCTATCATTTTAGATCGGGTAGGCCGTGAAATCGTTTATTGAGCAATGCAAGAAATACATAAACTTTTTTCTTTCCCTTTGTCTTTTTTTCAGACACAACATTCATTCGATACCAAAACAATAACATAAACAATTTATGCAGTTGCTCTTGAAATTTCCCAACTTCGTGGCACTTTTTTCGCGACGTCTTCATATTTGCTACAATGATGTCATCACTTTATAGGCACAGCATTTATTGACTGGGAGCGGGGAAAGAACCGTATCAATGACGCACAGTAATTCCCCGCGCAATCTAGGTAAATCAAGGTTTCAATTTTTGTTTCACTCGTGTTATATCTTTTACCAATTACTTAATATTAAATCTATTTATATATCATAGATCTCCTAACTTTTTATGCTTTATTTTTCTCGAAGTAAAACTGTCACCTAATAAAAAGATCCGTAATCTTGGTACAGAATAGAGGGTCACATTAGACTGCATTAGACTGCAAATGATTTTTTATTTTCACAATTAGGAACCTACACATAATTACATACATTATGAAAATGGTCCAATATATGCACTTCATAAGCAATGATTAGTAAAGATTCTTTGTAAATGGGAAAATAATATTATAATCCTAAAGCAAAATAAAGTTGTGAACACTTTTGTGTGTTCACAACTTTATTTAGTAGCGCATCTAATTGAGAGCAGTGAAAGCTTACGTTTGGCAGAATCTTTTTAGTACATATTCCAATTTTTGATTGAAATATGCAGTTTAATTGAATCTTGTAAATTGCATTTGTCAGAATATATTAAAGATCGGCGGATACTTTGTGCAATATGACATGCTGATAGAGTGATAAAAAAGATTAGTGTGATAACATTCGTATACTTTCTAGGCTATTAGGATCCTCAAATGGAGTAGCAAAATTACTTATTACACGCATCAGGTTAACTAATATAAAGGTGTTTTAACAGCCTATGGACGTTAATGTTGTAGATTTTTTAAACTATTTGAAAAAACAAATGTATGTATTTTAATCGGTGGTAGGACTTGTCCGACTGGCTGGCGACCACCCTCCAACTAGAGTCCGCCGCCAAATAGCCTAGCTGTGTTCCGGCGTGTGGGTTGGAGAGCCAGTGTTATTCCTACCCTTTCCTCTTCCTTGTTGGGGGTGAATCTTGGCGATACCTGGAACATGCGGAGCAGACGTGCGTGTGAGCTCGCGGGACGTGATTGTTTGACGNAAAAAAAAAAAAAAAAAAAAAAAAAAAAAAAAAAAAAAAAAAAAAAAAAAAAAAATGTGGCGGTAGTCATTAAAACACAAGATATTTCACAGGTGCCTGAACCTGGCTTGCGGCATTTTCAAGATAAGCTTACATTTATACAGGTTCCCCAGAAGAACGTTCGGACCATAGATAATACACTTAATATTTTAGGTTCAGACAGTCGGTCTACCGAGCAATTTCAGCCGCTCGATGGAAGATCTTCCCTCCGTCGTTAAGCCTCCCAAACTGGTGATCCATTAAAGCGGCGAATAAAGCTTTTTTTAAGGCTGCGTATATATAGTACATCCATTACACAAAAGTAAAGTTAATGATAATAATCAGAAATTATTCTGCACGTACTCAAGTTGGTGCTGTGGCGTGACCATTTTTTAGCAAATTCTTTAATCAATTACTTGCCTACGGACTTCCGTTTTGTTGCGTTCTCTAATGTTAACAAGTGACGTGAGGACGTATTGACTCCCCACCTCAAAATAATTCATACACTCAAACGCAAAAGTGTTGTTCTATGAACTATTTGCATAATAACTTATGGCTTATTTCTCTCGCGAAACGGTCATTAGTTCCGATTTGATGAGTGGAACAGTCTTTATAATATACACTTGAGATTAGTGATGTCTATGACCTAATGCATCCAATAGTGCAATAAAATGTTATGACTAAAAAGGTAGGCAGTGGAATTCACGGGTTGATGTCCATGGGATCTGCTGATACAGCTTAATATCTACCTTAATATGGAGCGGCCCGCGGTTAGTGAATTTATAGCAATAAAAAATAAAAGAGATTTATTAAAATAATAATATATGTATTACAATATTTTTTTTCACATTACATCACTTATCACTACGATAACAATAAGTAGATTCAATATTTCAAGCTAACTGAAGCTGACCATTTTCTCGTAATTATTAACAACAATGACGCAATTCAATTTAATTGTATAAAAGAGATAAAGATATTGTTGTTATATTACAAAAAATTCATTTCATTAGCGTATTTGCAGTATAAACATGATTTTTTTTTGTAAACTTAATTCAGTTATCACCTTTGTTGTTATCAGTTCATAATATAATAACTAAATCCTTAAAAATATAATATTCGATTTAAAAAATGGAATGATGAATTCATGGCAAAACAATCGCTTTACTTCATTTGTTAATCAAATAGTTGGATGTTTTAAAAATCTTATGTTAAAAACAATAGACTATTTTTATTAGGTGAGTCATTTCCTAGATAATGTATTTAATTTTAGGAGTTTGTTTTTTCCTCCGTGACATTTTGTCATCTTTCATCAATCACAAATGCTAATATAAATTGGTGCCTTAAATAATTTTCGCATCAATGGTGGAAAAGACGCAAGTTAGTATGCGCGAGCGCTATTTTGTGTTCGTTGCACGCTTCAATGACTTCTTGATCGTTGTTCGAGCCAGACGGACTGCCGATGTATTCCACCCCGCACTATAAAGACAAAAACAAAAATACGAACGATAAGTTATTTTCAAAGTGATAACACGTCAGAACCATATGACAGTCTTTATGTAAAGAACAACACAAGTGCAGGGAATAACATTTAACATCGTACGAGTCAACATAACATATCGCATGATAGTCACGCATGTACCTTTGAACTTTGGACGTATTGATGAAATTTTACTATATCAAAACAAAAATTGAATTGAATGCACATGACTAGGAGATGTATGGAAATTGTAGTGCAAGGTAGAGGGGGAAGAGGTGGACCGAAATAGGCATGGATGGAGTGTGTGAATGACGATATGAGAGAGGAGTGAGTGTTGAGATTACGGCTGATAGAAGAGAATGGAAGAGAAAAATTAGCTGTGTCGACCCCGCCTAGTGGGAGAAGGTGGAAAAAAGAAGAGGCATACATCTATATATATAAAAATGAATTGCTGTTCATTAGTGTCGCTAAAACTCGAGAACGGCTGGACCGATTTGGCTCATTTTGTCTTGAATTATTTGTGGAAGTTCAGAGAAGGTTTAAAAGGTAGATAAATATGAAAATCCTCGGAATTAAATAAAAATAACAATTTTGTTTTTCGTTTGATGTGTCCCCCGTCGGACGGATTCCTTTTGTTTGTTTTATGTTTATTTTATACAAAAGTTTAGGTCTATTATTTCTCGATTGAGGCACTACGAAGTCTGCCGGGTCAGCTAGTACATATATGTGTTCACGGATGGATATTACATTTTTTTGGACGCGGACCGAGCGGCGATTTGCGGAACTCTGTGGCCGAAGATGTTAAAAACATTCCTTATACCAGAGAGTTGTATATTGATCTTCGCCAGTAATGTTAAGGCCTTCATTTTAAATGAACTACCAAAACAAAAGTTTCCTTAATATTTCTTCCTTTCCCTTTGTATATGAAATTATAATCAGTATTGTATGTTTATATTGTAACCTGCACAGCTCGGTCGATGTTGTCTCTGAATGGGAAGAAAGCGTCGGAAGCGAGGGCCACTTTATCCATCTTCTTGATCCATTCCTCGCGTTGGGAGTCCGTTAATAGGGCTGGTGGTTTGCCTTCGAACAACGTGTCCCATTGTTCTAATGGCAAATCAGATCCTGAAATTATTGTTATTGTTAATTTGAGGATATGTTATTCATGTTTGATTTTTTATTTTATTATTTACAAAGTACAGTAAGGACAGATGATAGTTATGATTTCAGTAAAAATACAGATGCATATGTTATCGAAATTTCAATTTATTCATCAATGACCAATTATATAATTGAATATACAATTTCGAAAAGGGCACATGTCGCATGTTGTCAAATATGTTTTTACCATTTATTATATTTTCCATATACATGTAGTTTTGAGGCTTACCTACACCCTTTTATAATTATTCCAGTAATTTTCAATTGTTAATTAACACTAAAATATATCTCAAAAGTTAATATTTTAAATTTTACACTGCTTTACAAAATAATCAGTTCTCATTCCTGAAATTCCTTTCATTTCCTGAACATTTTACATTTTCAGAGATGTCCTACCACCAGTAAAAAACGATCGTGATGATCGCAACGGGGCTGGTTCTACTAACCGACAGTTCCGTTGACGTAGTTGTCGATGGCGTTGGCCTGCACCGCGCGCGTGACGCCCTGCCTGAACCTCATGGCGAGCACGCTGGGGTGTCGGCGCAGCCACCACAGCGCCGCCTTGCCCCCCGCCAGCCGCGTGCAGTGGATGCGCGACTGCTGCCCCGCACCAATACCGATCACCTACGTTCAACACCATGATTTAGTAGCATGAAAGGACAAACAACTGTTTTTTATTGGACTTGTAGACAGACGAGCACACGGCCCACCTGATTGTAAATGATTACCGTCGCATAGACGTCAGCAATCCCAGGGGCAGAGCTAAGCCGCTGCAAACCGTCAAGTACTCTCCAGAAACTTTTTTTTAGGGGATTTTATGACTTGGTGACTAAGACCTTTAAGTCATGCCTTGTTTTAATTTATATTGTTATTTTTACGAAAAATAATGAAATGCAATGGAGATGATTAATTTGAGACATTATTCAACTGTGATGAAATTAAATGAAGTGAGATGAGATGATAATAATATTATGCGATGAAATATAATCTCAGTAAAATGGTGGTCATTTACTGAGATTTTATCAGTGGACTTTTTGGAGGATCCTGAGAAGTTACGTCCAGCGGTTTGTTTCATTTTCCCACATTTGTACACTTTCACAGATATTACAGTTAATAAACCACCGTTATTACACATTTAAACCTGAAGAAACACTTAAATAGACAAAACAAAACAAATCACACAACTTCACTCCTCGTGCTCCCGCCAAAAAGTCTCCTCCAGAAACTTGCACACTTGATCCACAGATTATAGAAAAGGAATATAAAACTTTTTTGACATTTTAATTTACTTCAATTCTATTAGTATTACATTAAAAGCCAATCAAATATAAAAGATTGGATGTTACGATTCAACGATTCATAGCTACTTTAATTAGATAATTTTATTTGTAACTTAGCAGCTTTATTTAAAAAAAAAATAGTTTGCTAGTTTTAGTATGAATTCATTCTAATGAGACAGCAGAGCAAAGTGACAAATCCCGGATCTTTTTTCGCTTTAGACATCAAATAGTGAGGCAAATATTAGTTTTATTAATATTTTTGCATACCTGTCCATCACGGGCGAAGCAGACCGAGTTACTCTGAGTGTACTTTAGAGCAATCGTCGCCACGATGAGGTCCCTCACGGCGTTCGATGGCAAATCCTTCTTGGTGGTCACGACGTTTTTGAAAAGTTCAGCGGTGATCTTCGCATCGTTACGTTTTTGCTCCAATGTTAAACCGAAGATGGTCTTTTGCTCCATGAGACTCGGTTCGTAAGTGGGATCAATCTAAGAACAAAACAGATTTTTTGGTTGAACAGATGAATTTGATTTTGTTCATTTTCCTTTACATGCGATAGGCAGCGGCTTGGCTCTGCCCCTGGGATTGTTGAAGTCCATGGGCGACGGTAATCACTCACCATCAGGTGGGCCGTATGCTCGTCTTCCCACAAGGGCAATTAAAAATTTATCTGACTTATTAACTTACTCCATCGTATTGTGGCGAGTAGCCATCATACAACACAAGGTATTTGACAGGACTTTTTGGCGGGAACGCGAAGAGTGAAGTTGTGTGATTTGTTTTATTTTGTCTATTTAGTGTTTCGTCAGGTTTAAATGTGTAATAGCGGTGGTTTATTAAGTGTTTAATATCTGTGAAAGTGCACAAATGTGGGAAAATGCAACAAAGCCGCTGGACGCAACTTCTCGGAATCCTCCAAAAAGTCCACTGAAAAAATCTTAGTAAATGACCACCATTTTACTAAGATTATATTTCATTCCATATCATCTCATTTCATTTAATTTCATCCCAGTTGATTAACGTCTCAAATTAATCATTTTCATTTCATTTCACTCCATATTATCATTTTTCATAAAAATAAGAATATAAATTAAAATAAGACATGACTTAAAGGNCAAAAAGTCCACTGAAAAAATCTTAGTAAATGACCACCATTTTACTAAGATTATATTTCATTCCATATCATCTCATTTCATTTAATTTCATCCCAGTTGATTAACGTCTCAAATTAATCATTTTCATTTCATTTCACTCCATATTATCATTTTTCATAAAAATAAGAATATAAATTAAAATAAGACATGACTTAAAGGTCTTAGGTACCAGGTCATAAAATCACTTAAAAAAAAAGATATTTCCAAGTTAAGCTCGCATATATATAAGTTCCGAACAACAACATTCGGACCGTCGGTCGTCATCCTTTCATCGTAAACCTCCAAAGTATAATAACTCTGAAGAGTATAAAACAAACTAAGAAATGCAAATACGCAGACCTTTAAAACACAGTAGTTCCCGCCCTTCTTCTTGCTGAGTAGTTTGAGTGCTTCGGGCGAGTATCCCGGCGCGATGACGCCGTCGGACACCTCCCTGGAGATGATGGTGGCGGTGCTGACGTCACAGGGGTCGGAGAGCGCCACGAAGTCCCCGAAGGAGCTCATGCGGTCGGCGCCGCGAGCCCGCGCGTACGCGCACGCTAGCGCGCTTAGTTCGCCCGCCACCATGCACACCGCCGCCTGCGCACCACAACAACCTTATATTATTATACTAGCGGCCCGTTCTGGCCCCGCTCGGGTCTTTAACAAAAATTTCAACGATATTTGATGTTGTTCTATTTTTTTAAATAAAAGAACACTTAATGCAGCATAACTATAATAGTTAGACATATGCTGTCGCGACACTTTTTGTATATAATAATGTGGTCTACAAAGTTGTAGTACATTATTCTATTCTATCATCAATAGTTTTCGCATGGCACGCGATGTAAAAAATATTTTAGGTATTTTTTACACCTTGGGTTATATTATTGAAGTTTTAGTAAGGATCCCTATTTTTTTTTCAAAAAAGATTATCGCCTATGTCACTCGGGAATAGTGTAGCTTCCAAACAGTGAAACAATTTTTCTACTCGATTCACTAGTTTCGCAGCCTATTCAATACAAAGAAACAAACAAATCTTTCCACTTTATAATTAGTAGCATAGATATAGATAATTAGTATAGATACAGATTTCATTGTATTATTTGCTTAGGCTTTTGTTCGGTTTCTTAAATCATCTTGCTTAAACAGGTATTGTTAAATTGTCAATATCTAAACTACCAGTTGCTTAACTACTCAATATTATTTACTACCTCTTCATCCGTGAGCGGCAAGCCCACGGCGGCTCCGGCAGGGGACACGTGCTTGAAGCTAGCCGCAGCAGGAAGGTTCAGCGCTTCCTTCAGCTCCTTGACGAGCTGCCAGGCGTTCAGCGCGTCGCACAGGTTGATAAATCCAGGCGCACCGTTCAGTGTCGTGATCGGCAAGCTGTCTCTGGTCGTGAAAACCTGGGCCGGTTTCTGATGTGGGTTCATACCTGCCAGCAGTGAAAAGCAATCTGTCAGTTCTGATCACGTTTTTACTAGATTTATGGTAAGTTTTGGTGTAGGTAATTGTCACAAAATACTTATTAAAACAAATATGTTTATGGTGGTCTGGTGGTCGGACGTATTGTGGACTGCAAAGCGGTAATGTGCCGCAGTTTTTCGGATGGTGCTGTTATTCAGATAGCTATTTTTTTCTTCTTTTTTTTTCCTCTCCTACCTTAGCTGAGAGCATTGAGAGGCTATATCAGCGTAGCCTTAACTAGTAGGTGAGCTCACGGGGCTCAAGCCTGACGATGTTGCTACCACGAACTCTAGCAAGAGCCGTGCTTCGCAGAATCTACCACCGGATCGGAAACGCGAGCCACTGAGAAGATCTGGCGAGAAACTCAGTGGGCTGTGTCTGAGGGTTCAGTGCTTTAGTGTAGGTAATTGTCACACAATACTTCTTAAAAGAAATATGTTTATGGTGGTCTGGTGGTCGGACGTATTGTGGGCTGCTAAGCGGTAATGCGCCGCAGTTTTTCGAATGGTGCTGTTATTCAAATTAAGGTATTTGTGTGATGGCCTACACAACAGTATTAGATATCCAGGTCTTTCCCTGGTTACTTCAGTAGCTATGATAAAAACTATTCCATACTGATACAGGTATGTAAGTATGTAAAGTATCTTTGTATGATTCGCATAGCCCCCCTAAGTTACCAACTTAAGTAGGAATAACAAATTGATCAAAAGTCATTCAAATCCGTTTGGGCATTTCTGTATCATAGAATAACTAACTATGAATATTGTGGTTTGTATTAATACAGTTTATTCTATAAGTTGTTGCTCTGTCTAAATTTCAATGTACTTGTATTCTGGTAAAGCTGGAAAGGCTTCTGAGCCCGATAAGGCTTCCTTCCAAAACAACTTTTTTCTACATCTCTTGTCAATTTTTCTGTCCCTTTACAGAAAATTATTTGACCAACACGAATAAACGACACCACATATACCAATTAAATCAAATACATTAAAATTCAAAATATTGAAATTGGTCCAAAGAATCCCAAGCCGGCTTACAATGAACAACATTAAATTTTATTTATTGGTATATACATACTGCAAGTCTGCATAAATATGCTTCAGCGATGGTTACATTTCAGAATTATTTCATACCGTATCTTAAGGTCAGTTGGGCTTGTCCGGGCGAGTATTGCTTGCGGAAGTAGTCCGATATGGCGAGGTCATAGTCCGAAGTATGAGTGAACGCCTTCAGGGCTAATCTCTGCCTGTAATTAATGAGACATTTAGTATTACATATTGGTACATTGATAAGGTCCGGAGAAGCATGCCGTAGGGTCGCATCACAACGAGACTGAAACCCAGAATAGATTTTAAGAGATACCTTGTTATGGCTTGCCCTAGATTTGCATACTTTGGCATAACTTTTGATTGCACGACATATGATTTAGTACGTTTTTGACATATTGTTTAGATTGATATAATTAGCTTCTTTGGAGAAATTTAATGAGTTTAAAGTTTTAATTACACCTTTATAACATTATTTGTAAGAATAATATGCTTCTTTAATGTTATGCAAACAGTAGCTACGGTAAGTGTGCCTCAACATTTATACATAAGTAATATTTTAAATTATAATCTAATATAAAATCTGTACTATCTAATATAATAATGTATATCATGATAAATAACAAACATCATGAAATTTTGCAAATCAATTTTCAGCCCTTTTTTTAACTCATGTGTTAGGCAATCTATATCTTAAATTATTCAGGGTATACTTCATGAATGTGTACCTGGTTTTCGCATCAGCCTCCTTAAGCAAGGCAAGACGTTTCCGAAATTATACAATTGAGTAATTAAAAACTACAATCAGTGTACAGGTCAATCGGTAGGCAGCGGCTTGGCTCTGCCCCTGGCATTGCTGAAGTCCATGGATGACGGTAACCACTCACCATCAGGTGGACCGTATGCTCCACTGCGTATAAGGGCAATAAAAAAAATATTCCTCCCTCACCTTGTGCCCAAAGTCGTCTGATGATGTTTGTTCTCTTTGATTTCTTTGATTACAGCATCGTAGTCGGCCGGGTCACAGACGACGGTGACCCGGTCGTGGTTCTTGGCTGCTGCGCGCAGGAGGGTCACGCCGCCGATGTCGATGTTCTCGACCGCGTCCGCCACGGTCACGTCCGGCTTAGATACCGTCTGGACGAACGGGTACAGGTTACAGACCACCACGCTTATCATCTCGTACTTCTGACGTTTCATGTCTTCCTGGTCAGAGTCGGATAATCTGAAACAAAAAAATACACGGCTCAATGCTTTTCTATTATGCGCTCTAACTATAGCAGCAAAGCGAGTCAGGTCGGCTGACTAGTCATCAACAAATGTTGATTCATTTCAATCGAAATCGGTACAACTGTTTAGGAAACATATTACATTCTTTCGCTACCTATGCTGACAGCCTTGATAGGCTACTTCAGCTTTACCCTAACGTGTAGGTGAGCTCACGAGGCTCAAACCGGAAGTTTTTCTAACACTGGCCATGGCGAGAGCAGTGCTTCACAGAATCTATCACCGGATCGGAAACGCGACCCACTGAGAAGATTCGGCGAGAAACTCAGTGGGCTGTGTCTATGGCTTAATTTACCCGTCGAACTTCGATCGCAAGCGACGAGTTCGGCGAGGACGATGACCGAACATACATATACGTCGCCTTTTCATATATCCTATTTCTGCAGCGAAGAATGTATTTCAATTTTCAATCTAAAACACTAGACACAACAATACAATTGGGACTTGGAACTCAGACCACAAGTTTACGAGAAAAAAAATGCACAAAAGAGGATAATACTCTGTACCGTGTATTATGAATATGTTAACGGCTTGCACCAGCTTTTATCTACAGTACAGAAGAATTAATTAGTCGACTGTAAATCATCAGTCTTAAAATCACAAATTATACAAGAATTAATGCGAGCTTCGTGTGTCACTAATCAGGTGTAGCTCTGCTGAAATACCCAGATAATAATACTGTATTCTATGTACCTGAAACATTTGACGAACTATTTGAATATTTCTTATGCAGTTTGCTATTAGGTTGTAAATCATGTTTCAATTTGGATATTGAACATTCCTTACCGAGCTAAGATCCCAGCATGTACCGCTGGATGTAAAGTTTTCACCCGACCTCCGAGCATCTCCGGTGCTCTCGTGATGTCAGACACATCTTGAACTGTGAGGCCGGCGTTCCGAAGCGCCGTGGCGGTACCGCCACTGGCAATCAACTGCAGGCCACATTCCGACAGGCTCTTTGCTAACGAGAGTAGACCCGTCTTGTCTGAAACGCTGAGAAGAGCTGTGCCGGAACACATATTTTAGTATCGACATTTGTTTTCGTAGTCATTTATGTTGTAGGCCTTTGCGGACTGTTAATACTATTGCAATTTTTTCTACTGAAATCATATACTCCTAGTTCAAGAGTAGGATAACTATTATTTCAATGCTAGTATGTAAGATAAAATGCAGAGTATACCTACTCGTAGCGAGCGGGGCAACTATACCGGTGTTCAAATTCAAGGTATCAATTTTTCCAATGAAATACGTATTTAACTCATGTTCACGAATGAACTTGCACTAGAATGAATATTAACAAGTAATGTAATATAAATTAAATCGGCATAAATTATAATTTGCGTAATTAGAATACAATTGAGACGTAGACTTCAAATCTCGATTTGGGTGGGGACGTTCACGTTGTGATACATTTTATATTTTGCGCTCCACTAACCACTTAGCATCGGGTGGGTGGCGAGCTCGTTCGCACGTCAAGGCTATTAAGAAAAAGGACGATACAAGTCTGTATGCTAGTGCTAGTACTGTGGCTTCTAGTTATTGCTTAACATGGCAACCTATCAATTCGTGTTTATCGAGGTAAGAATCAAAACCACTAAAAGACTTAAACAAAAAGGAAATCTCTTAAAAAAAATACGTAAAAGGAATTAGTAATATAGGGTAATGACCGTTTACATCAGCCTAGTTTTCACGCCTTCAGATTTTAAAAGTGGGATAGTCAGCAGCGTTTTTGGTGGCGACTCTAATAAATACGGGGTCCAATAACCACTTAATGCGAAAAAACGCGAAAAAACAATTACATTAAACTTCATTTAAAAAAAATTTATGAAAAATTCCTTCACATAAGTACTTTATAATTGCTAAAAAATCGTAATATAAAAAAAAAAACTACCTAGTTTTCCATTTGACGCCATGTTCTGTTTGCTCAAACACTACTGTGTAACTGACTTGAACTTGGGTTGACTGGGGGCGATAAGCGGTTATTGTAGTCAGAGATATTCTTGACCTTATCCAGGGGTTCCTGATAACAAAATATTAATTTTATTCGTAATAGTCGCAGGGTTGTAAAATTTATTGTATCAGAATTCTCAGTTTTATTTTAATTTAAATTTAGAAAAATACTATGTACCGTTTTTGAGTATTCGTGTAGGCATCTGTGTGCTTAGTGCGAGTTTCTTAACGTTCTCGATAGCGTAAAAGTTAACCCAATTTTGTATGCAGTTGGTACAGCGCCCCTAGCGGCAAACGTACGCAAACGATCCCACTCCATACAAATATGAGCTAACTTTTACGCTATCGAGAACGTTAAGAAACTCACACTAAGCACACTGTAACTGTTAAGACTCCAGAGAGAGAAAACTCAAAATGAGCGCTATGACGAAAAGGGACCCCTCTGCACCAGGCAACACGTTGTCGGTTACTCTTGACAGAGCAGTCGTGGTCATGTAGAATCCTTGTTTATTATAGCCAGGCAACACACACAAGTCGAAATCATATTTTAGAATAATGCTAGTGACAAAGACAACCCTATTGCGACAGAAACAGAAAGCTATGATGAAAACAATCAAGATATTGCCTATTTGTATGGAAACAACAAAACGCAATTCAAAACAAGTCAATTATCTTGGACGTAAATCATATGATAAAAATTAGTAAACAAAAATAATTATCTTTTTTTTAAATATATTTTTGTATACTTGTACAAGTACTAGCAAGTAAGTGCCTTATTTTCTGTGTCTTTGTTGGCATATGACCCCGTGATGTTGAGTGGTCACCGTCGCTCACTGACTTACGATTACATGCTGGTGGTAGATTCTGCAAAGCACTGCTCTAGCTAGGGCTAGTGTTGACCAATTCACTCAGGTCGAGCCTCACCTACCGGTCCACATGTAGCTGGAATAGCCCCTTATGCTACCAGCATATACGTAGAAAAAAAAAAACAAAGATAGCAATTCTGGGGCACAGCTAAACCACGGCATACAATTACGTTTAAAACCTATTGAAATCGTTTCTTAGAAAAGTATATTTTAAACAAAGTATATTATAAGTATGTATTATTAACAATTATTTAATGCTATGACAATCTAATGGTCAACCTAGTTGAATCATAGCCAAACTGTGACGTGAAATAGATAATATTTTTATGTGATGAGTTCAGTGTTTAAATTTCGTAATATTCAAATTAGTTCCATGACAGAGGCAAAGGTCAATGTTACAAAGGTAACATAATTATTTAACATTGTTTTATGGTGGAGTCAGTAACAGTCTTTGAATCCCTAAATGGGAATGTGAATTGAATGGTTGCTTGGAAAAAATAAGGCATCAAATGTATGATTATTATTATATTAATGGTTATGAATAGATTATGTGCAGGACTGTAGTCCAACCTAAGTAGGTTGGATTACACAAAGCCCTTTCACCAGTAATCATAGAATGATAGATAGTTAAGTGAAGAAATTTCAATAGAATCTACAAGTGAAGGAATTAGTTTTTATTATTTTATTGATGTTCAAGAAAATGTACTTACTATACACATATTTTATTATATTATTACAGTAAAATAAACCAAAAGTAATGTTATATTAGAAAGTTACACCTTTTTCTCAACATAAGTTCAATTAATCCCACCGTGCTAAGATTGGTGATATTTATTTATTTATTATTAACATTATGATAGCTTGATATATTATTAGCCTGGTGTGTGAATAGTGACAAGGCAGCAAATCTGAGTACATTAGTTCTTACAGTTTGAACCAGTGACAAGTTTGGGACGTGTTGCACCATGATATTCCTATTTGGAACACTGAGCACAATCAACACCTCAGGATGTTGCAATGGAATAAATAGTAAGAAATCTAGTATTCATCAGTTTTCATAAGTTGTAACTGTAATTTAAACTATTTTAGGGTTTAATCTCACATTTTTATTGTCATTATACTTTTACTGACATTTTGACTACTTTACTTTCTATGGTCACAGACTGGGTAAAACTAGTGTTTGCTTCTGGCCAAAATTAACACTTATTTGAAATTAATATAAGTTAGACTAGCTCTCATTTGGTTAACCTTGTTAGGTTATGCTGACATAGCCTCTCAAAGCTATCAGCGTAGGTAGGAAAAAGAAAACTTGGTTAACAGAAATTACTCTCTAAGGTGGTCCGCAGTTAGCTAAACCTAACCAGCAGCTAACCTAACAACTCAGGTAGTCCTTCAAACCGAGCCCGATGCTGATTATGTATTATCACAGAAGTTTAAGTTATTTTCCAGAATCAGTTTACAATAATTAAATCTATTTGGTCAAGTGTTTACAAAATTAAACATATCCAAATCACAACATGTGTATACCTAATTAGGTACACAAATATTTCGAACTAACCTGAGTTTTGATATATTTCTTTAAAATATAAACAATGAAATTAAATATATCTTATAAGGTTTTTAACATCAGTAACTGAACGAAGAACTGTTTTTTTTTTTTTGCTGAATAGGGATTAAGCAATGTATTGCTTCACAGCTCAATAAACAAAAAATAGAAATAAAAAAAACAAAATTAAATCAGCAGAGGAAGACGGAAACATTTTTTTTTTGGTACAATTTTTCCTTGTTAGGAAAGGCAAGGGGATCTAAGCCCATACAGCCTTGTCTGCTCTATATATTCTCTGAAAGAAGACGTAAACACAAATTAAGTTCAGTTTTTTTAAGGGATTTTATGACCTGGTAACGAAGATATTTAGGTCAAGTCTTATTTTAATTAAAATGAAAACTTTTTAAGATAAAAATGATATTATGAAATGAGATGAAGTTGATTATTAAGAAACATGGCATGAAATGAAATGAGATGAGATGATATGGGATGAAATATAATATCAGTAAAATGGTGGTCAAGCACTGAGACTTTTTCAGTGGCGATTTAAATGTGTATAACGGTGATTTATTAACTGTGTAGTATTTGCGAAAATGTGGGAAAATGAAACAAAGCCGCTGTACGTAGCTTCTCAGAACCTTCCAAAAAGTCCATTGAAAAACTCTCAGTAAATAGCCGCATTTTATTGAGATTATATTTCATCCCATATTATCTCATTTCATTTCATTTAATTACATCTCAATCGATTAAGGTATGGAATTAAATAAATTCATTTTATTTCGCTCCATATCATTTTTCATGAAAGATAATTATGATAAGATATAAGATTAGGATGTATGGTGTGATACCTTCGCCTATTCACTTGGAAAAATGGAACTACTGTCATTTTGTGAATAAATAATAATGTGAACCCACGTGAACTTTGTAAAAAAAAGTTTGTCTGAAGCCCGATCAAGAAACATTGTGAATGTTAATATAGGTTAACTAAATAAGTAAAATTCATTAGAGCCTGTATCCACTCTGGAAAAAACAATATTCCAATCAAAACAGAACGCTTGTTCTGAAGATAGCGTAGCGAGATATGTTAATTTTAGTTTAAAATAACTAACTTTAATAGAAGGTATGTCTGAACTAGTAGATACTAAACCTCCAGGCAAGAGTTGGCGTGAAATAAACAAAGAAAGGAAGTCACTAAAACGCAAGCGTAACGAAGAGAAAATTATCAAACGCGAGAAAAGGGTTGCCTTGGAAAAGGAAGTCCAAGATAAGGCTAAAGAAGAAGAAGAGCGCGAGAAGAAGTGTTTAGAAATTTCTACTGTTAGTATAGCTGTCCCCAGTTCTATATTAGAAAATGCTCAATCTGCAGAGCTACGTACTTATCTTGCTGGACAAATAGCCAGGGCGGCCTGTGTCTTTTGCGTCGATGAAGTAATAGTCTATGATGACATAGGTGAAAAATTAAATACAAAAAAATCTAAATTAGAGGATTCTGATGGTGTGAAAGTGGCTAGAAAGAGTTGTGTACAGTTAGCACGTATACTCCAGTACTTGGAATGTCCACAATACTTAAGAAAGCACTTTTTTCCAATACATAAAGATCTCCAGTTTGCAGGTCTACTCAATCCATTGGATGCTCCACATCATTTGAGACAGACAAATGATTTTAAATTCAGGTATGTTTATATGATGTATGATGGACGTCTGGTGAAGTGGTAAGTGACATGGTCACTACACAAGGGGGTCGCGGGTTCGAAACCCGCCAAGGGAAGATATTTGTATGATAAATATAAAATGTCTTTTCCAGGGTTATTGATGTATATTAAATATATGTACGTGTATGAAAAAAATCTTACATTTGTTTCCGTTATCTTGTACCTGTAACACAAGTCCTTTATGAACTTAACACGGGACCAGTAAATGTGGCGTGATTGTTAATAAATACTTATTTATATTTGTCAAATGAACAGTAATAGTTTTTGTTCTAATTTTTATAGTTAAGTGAACTTTAAACTTTTCAGGGAAGGCATTACTATGAATAAGAAAGTGAAACCTGGTAAAGGATCGCAAGTGAATGTTGGATTGTTGCAGGATGTATCAACTGATAAATTACTAAATCCTGGTATGAGAGTTACAGTTAGAATGCTGCCTGCATTAAAAAATGGCAAGAAACTAAAAGGGAAGATTGTTAGTTTAACAACACCAAGGGCAGAGACAGGTGTTTATTGGGGTTATACTGTAAGGATTGCTAGTACATTGAGCCAAGTTTTCACTCAGTGTCCATACAAAGATGGGTAGGCATATTGAATTGTTTTTGTTTTATCATAACTTTATAGTTTTAATAATCATTGTGGATTATTAGAGAGTAAAACTAATTAAATCTGAAATTGCTTTTTCACGGTACAGCATTATATTAGTGCTAGGGTGTCTTGTCAGCCCACATACACATGTAGGTAACACCACCCTACCTATTTCTAATGTGTACTAGTGTTGTACTATAAAACAGACTTAGAGCTTATGTCTTAAGGTGGGTGGTAGCATTTACGTTGATGATGGCTCTATTAACCACCTAACACCCTGTGGGCTAAGACCTTGTTTACCCACTAAGCAAAATAAAACTGTTCACATCTAGGGATGGCATTAAAATTTTGTGGGGGTCAAAATTATTTGATTATATTATTATCCTATTAAGTTTTCTATCATTTTATAAAATTTTTTGCAACTACTCAATTAGTACTATTGAATTTATTACTTTAAGCAGTAACAAGTAACCAAAAGTAAAGTTGAGACTGAATAACATTACAAAAAGTCTTAGTTTATTGTTGGATCAAACTCAAACACAATAGAACCCTGAAATTTCTAAGTGTCAAGAGGTTTCAAGTTAAAATCTAGCTCATGCAATGTAGAAAATACTTTAGTGCAAATGTAATCTCATAAAGTGTACTGAATTGCAATTGTGATGTAAAATTTGAAATGTGAATCTGAAATTATAGATATTTTTAAAATATTTTTTTATACTTGTAACACAGAAGCCACAGTCAGGGTTTGTGTCCAAGCTACAACACAGTTCTTAATGTTTTTATAGTAATTAATTCCAATTTTCGTTTTTTTCTTTTCTATTAAAAAAGTTGAAATAAGAGAACTGACATCATGTTTCATAATATGCTTTTAACCTCAAGGATTCTTTACTACCATTAGATAAAATAAGCCTAATAAATAGGCCTAATAATATATAATAATATATTATTAAATATCCAATTCATAATATATAACCAATACAGCTTTTCACCCTTTTATCTCACCTTTTTAATATTATTTATCGTCTACTATTTTAAGTACTACAGCTCTATATTATACTTTTATTGGTTAATTTTATATTGTAATTTATTTGTAGGTATGATGTTACAATAGGCACGTCTGACAGAGGATTATCAATTGACACATTACCTGATAAAGAAGTCAAATACAATCATGTTTTGATAGTTTTTGGTGGACTACATGGAATAGAAGCAGCATTGGAAAGTGATGAGCAATTAAAAGTAAATGATGCAAGTTTGTTATTCAATCATTATGTCAATGTATTACCGTCTCAAGGATCAAGGACAATTCGAACAGAGGAAGCTATATTGATAGCTTTATCAGGATTAAGAAATAAATTGCAGGCAAATAATGAACCAATGGTGTTTAAAGGTTCTGGCATTGCTCTTAGTTCTGCATTCCCTAACTTCAAACCAGATTCTGATCATTCTGGTGCAGAAAATAATGTAGATTTAAGCAGGTTTGATTAAAATTGCTTTAGTAAGTAGTGATTTTTTTTATTTTGACCCTGAAATTCAAAATTTGGAAGACTTTAAACCCTTGGAATGCATGTTCTTGTGGTGTTGTCGCTTATAGTATTATTTGTTTATTGCATCCTGTACAGTACTTCGTAGTAATTTTATAGTAGCAGCTTGGTCTGCTGATCCAATTATGGCTGTCCCTGAGACTATCATGTTGGCTCCTGCCTGCAATGAATTTATCAAAATACACACCACTGTACTGCAGTTAACATTTAAGATAATCCACAAAAATTAAGCTGGTTTTATTCTGTGTTATAGGGCTGGGCTTGCTCTGGGAAATTGTTTGGGATAATCTTGTCATGTCCTTTTTGACTTCACTAGACAACCACTATAGTAACCTTCATCCATACTACCTAGAAATACTGCCTTCATCTAGTGCTTTGTTTTTTATCAGATCAGTGAGATTGTTTGAACAAAGACCTCCAACCTAACTTCATTCATGCCACCTTCAAGTTGTTATTATGTTGTAAGCAGGTGTCTGGCCTATACGTCTACCACTACTTTGTTTATTATTACTGAGAAGCAATAATGCATTACAAGTTTTAAGCCACAGTTGCAATATGATTGTGACTTCAGTCTATAGGAATCATTACTGACTAACATCAGAGTATATGCCATGGATACAGCTGCAGGGGACTTTGTTGTTTATCAGTATGCTGAGTCTCACAGATGTGTCCACACCTAGGGGTGTCACGGTTGTGTGGGACTTGATGGTCGGCAGTTGTTGGGAGTAGACTGCAGGACCAAAGATGTTTGTTTTTTTTATTGCTTAAAAGGTTGGACGAGCTCACAGCCCACCTGGTGTTAAGTGGTTATTGGAGTCCATATACATCTACAAACGTAAATGCCACCACCCACCTTGAGATATGAGTTCTAAGGTCTCAGTATAGTTACAACGGCTGCCCTACCCTACCCGAAATAAGCGAGATGGTGGTACCTACCCGTGCGGACTCACAAGATATCCTACCACCAGTAATTACGCAAATTTTAATTTTGCTGGTTTATTTTTACACGATGTTGTTCCTTCACCGTGGAAGTCAACCGTGAACATTTCTTAAGTACGTTTTTTAGTACAAAAATTGGTACCCGCCAGCGGGATTCGAACACCAGTGTATCGTTAGATACGAATGCACCGGAGGTCTTATCCTTTAAGCCAGTCTTTCTCAAAGTGGGCGATAACGCCCCCTGGGGGGCGTTTGAGACCTAGAAGGGGGCGTTAAGGGGTCCAGGAAAAAGTGGGGGGCGTTGATGTGGGTTAGGGGGGCGCTATAAATTTGTAATTTCATTTAAAACTCACCTACTACACAATAACGTGTTATATTTCTACCCTGTATGATGTTATAAAAACTTAAAATAATTAACATAGATTTCGTAGGGTAGCCCACACACCGTACGCAATCAAGTTGTAACAACAATATAGCGTGGCCTTGTGTTATTATTGTTTTAATATTAAATTATCATTGTCTAATTATAATGTCATAAGTTGATAAAAAATGCTATGCAACAGCTTTACCGCCGCAGTTCCCGAGTGCCACACTTTTTTTTTGTCCGGTCGCTCTTTCGTAACTCCTTGGCAGCGCGCTACCAGCACTCTAGCGCGCTGCCAAGGAGTTACGAAAGAGCGACCGGTTGGCGGTGTATCGCGTCCCGACCCGGCAGGCTGGTTTTGGTCCAGCGGGGTATTCCGGGACACCAGCGGCACTGTCTGGGCGGCCTGACGGGCTGCCGTACCGAGACGGCCGACGTTTCAGAGCCTTCGATTCGCCTCGAAGGCTCCGTCGGCTGGGCGTCCTTGGGGTGAGCCGCGCCGTCTGGTTGTAGTGTTGACCGNCATTTGGGACATAGCTCTCTTTGCCATACTGATTCGCCTTCTGAGGTCCTTTTCGGAGGATCCATTACTAGCTATGACGGAGCCCAGATAAATGAAATCCTCTACGACTTCCAGGTTTAGCTTATTCGTAGTTTAATAAGTTATTATTGTTAGTAGTATTATTTACTAGTCGAAATATAAATTTTTAATTATCTTATGATGACAATCTTATATTAATGAGAAATAAATTCAACAAAAATAGTTTCGTTCTAATAAATTAGCATAGTAATAGTACAGTGAACTAGCAATTTATTTTGGTGATTCTGAATTTAAACAAACATATTGATGAGAAGAATTCATTTTTACTTTGCAAATTTGTAATACACGCTCTGTAGCAATGTACGGACATATAATAATATGAAGAAACAATAATAGCATCTACAAATACATAATTATGTACTACGTGGTACTACATTTACTAAAATAATACAACATTTATTAATTAAATTAATGAAATTGTGGTTTTAAAGTTTTAGGGGTGTATAAAAAATGGGGGGCGCTGAAAAGTAATTGATTTTCAAAGGGGGCGGTAAAAGAAATAAGTTTGATAATCACTGCTTTAAGCCATGATGACTTAAAAAAATTTTTAGGGCCCTACTCACCTAACTACTCCCTCAAATCTCTACCTGGGATGAGAATCCGAGCAGAGTACGGGGTTCCCGCGGTTAACGCTACAAACCAATTCGCGCGTCTCTACCCAATGATTTGCAACCGAAGTAAATTGTCCCTTAGAAATAAGGTGGCACTCTACAAAACTTGCATACGCCCCGTCATGGCCTATGCAAGGGTAGTGTTCGCTCACGCGGCCCCCACGAATTTTAACCCACTACAAGTCATTCAATCCCGTTTTTGCAGGATAGTCGTCGGAGCCCCGTGATTCGTCAAGAACGTCGACCTCCATGATGATCTGGAGTTAGAGTCCATCAATAAGTATCTACAGTCGGCATCGATGCGCCACTTCGACAACGCGGCACAACACGAGAACCCCCTTATCGTGGCCGCCGGTAACTAGATTCCCGATATAGTCCGCAGGGGACAGAATGGCAAGCAGTCGAGGTCGCCCAAAACACGTCATTTCGGATCCTCCCGATCCACTAACGGTGCTTTTAGGTACCTCAAGCACCAGTCATCGTTCCCGTCGAACACGTCGCTTGCGACGAAGGGCTCGACGAGTAAATTGACCCACAGACACAGCCCACTGAGTTTCTCGCCGGATCTTCTCAGTTGATCGCGTTTCCGACCCGGTGGTAGATTCTGCGAAGCACGGCTCTTGCTAGGGTTCGTGTTAGTAACGTCGTCAGGTTTGAGTCCCGTGAGCTCACCTACTAGTTAAGGTTACGCTGAAATAGCCTCTCAAGGCTATCAGCTTAGGTACGAGAAAAAAAAATCAATTTGCAATGCCTAGGATGCTCGACAGATCGGTTCTCGAGGAAATAGTCGATGACCCTACGTCGGTTGTCTCGGCATGATAACTCATCAGGCCGCCTCAGGTAGTGCTGCTGTTGTCCCGGAATACCCCTCCAGACATGGACTACCCTACGCGGTCGGAACGCGATACCTCTTCAACCGGTTGCTCTTGCGTCATAATGCAGAGCGCTAGAGCGCGGCGGCGAGGGATTGGTGTGGAGAGGGATGAAACTTTCCCTTTCACGTTCTGTCGTCTCCTTCTACAAGATGGTGGACTCGCAGAAGTCAAGCATGGACCTCTCAGGATCCATGAGCCATGGGTGGTCCTAGGGCCTGAGCTCAATATGAATTGTTTTGCATAAGAAATCACCCAACCAAATGCAGAAATATTAATATATATTAATCAATTGATTCTCTAGCTTTTATATGTTATTAGGTTTGATACTTACATTGGCACAGCAATTTATTGTTGATGGCCCTACACCACCATCTACTTCAATATCCAGTAATGGGTAATTCTCTCTTAAATATTGCACTTTGGCCATTTGATTCTCCATAAACTTCTGGCCACCAAACCCTGGTTCAACGGTCATTATTAAGACCATGTCTGATATAGAGATATATTTTTCAACTTCAGAAACAGGAGTTCCAGGCTTTATTGCAACTCCTACCTGGAATTTTAATATTAATCCTTTTAAAAATTTGATACCCATTTGTTTGGTTGGTTTAGAAAATAATCTACCTTCATTCCGTGCTCTCTAACTTTTCTGCACACTTCTATTACATCTTTGACAGGTTCTATATGAAATGTGTATTGATTGACTCCAGCATCAGCCATTGGTGTTATCCACTGAAACAAATTGTAGTATCAATTATAAACTATTGCTAAACATTCGACTATTTAATGATTCCTAGTATATTTGTAATATATTCTTTTACTTGATGTCTTAATAGTGACTCTTGAGTGTAATTTCATAATTCAATAAACTAAGAGATTTTTCTATTTTCTAAAACCTATGGAGCTATTTTTACCAGTAAATTTTAAGAGTAAAATACAGCACAGTGAGAATTTTTGTCTGATTTGTTTTTTAATGGCAGTGATCAGAATAAAGAAGTTAGGCCTTCCTAACTTCTGACCTAAACTCTGACTAAAATTGCAGCATATTTAAAATAATCAAGTTCGAATTCGAATCAGTGTCTGGAAATATATGGGTGCTCTTTAAAGATCATCACAACTTATGGTAAGCATGCAAAGTACACATTCAAACATTGTGGATGTTTGATTATGCAAGAATAAGTAATTGAAAATAATTTAATAAAGTGGTACATAGACTTACTTGCTCTGGTTTCTCAACCATCATGTGAGTTTCAAAAAAGGCATCTTTTATTTTTCCTCGAAGGCACTTCACTACAGGGTGACCAAAGGTTAAGTTAGGTACAAACTGACCATCCATTACATCTAAATGTAAATAATCTGCTCCATTATCAAGCAACTTTTGAGATTCTTCATATAATTGAGATAAATCAGCATTGAGAATTGAAGGTCCAATAAGCGCTTTTAAATGACGAGTCATCTTTGTTTTAGATCTTATTTTTCTTCTGAAGAATTTCAAGTCTTAGAATTCCCAAAAGTTCGACTTGGGTTGAGTCAAGTCATCAATTAACAAACTCTTAAATCTAATGTAATAAAAATATAGGTTAGTTTATTGAAACAACTTCACTCATATGTGATTTTGTTATCAATGCTATCATATCAATAGTGTGGTAGTAGTAGTTTTATTTTTCCAAATGGAAAAGCAAAGGTATCACAACATACAGCGTAATCTTTTATATCATTATAATATATATTTTTATTTAATATGAAATGAAATGAAGAATTTGAGACATTAATCAACTGGGATGAAATTAAATGAAATGAGATGAATGATATGGGATGAAATATAATCTCAGTAAAATGGTGGTCGTTTACTGAAATTTTTTTAGTGGACTTTTTGGAGGATCCCGAGAAGTTACGTTCAACGGCTTTGTTTCATTTTCCCACATTTGTGCACTATCTCAGATACTAAACATTTAATAAACCACCGTTATTATGCATTTAAACCCAAAGAAACACTACAACAAAATAAAACAAATCACACAACTTCACTCCTCGCTTTCCTCCAAAAAGTCTGTGTGTTAGTTAGCTAGTCAGGTCATAGGTATTGTCACACAGTAAAAACTTGTCTTTTAGAATGCTGGCCACAAAAAAGTTTATTGAATTCGATTTTCGAATTGTTCATGAAAATAAAAATATATACCGTACAATGGGGTAAATAGGGACAAAATCGACCTTCAGATTGAATTTTAAAATAGTTCCAATTAAATAGTCACTGCTCAACCAAAGAAATAAGTTGAGTCTTGAACGTACCTAGGTGATAAAAACCGTTACATAATTTTAATTATTCATTTTAAAGAAATAATCGGTAAAATAATGGCCGTCCCAATTTACCCAGCGTCCGGGGTAAATTGACACGGTCAAGGGTTAAATTGGGATATTTGTAAGGGTTGTCAACTCGCAGTACTGCGATATATAGGTAGGTGCCATATAATTATTTATATGGACCGAAATGATGAATACAATCCATAATTTAAGCACAATACACAACATAGTGTAAATTAAGCTGGTTTCTATTCCGAAGCGATGTGACGTGAATGATAATCAACAATACAATGATCAAAAAAAGTATGTGCATGTTATATTTTAGAAAATTATTATTTAATTTCCTTAAAAATCACAACTCTGAAACAAAATGATAAAATAGAATAAAAAATAGAAAACAAAAGGACTGGAA